CTTTGTATAAAAATTATTACCAAATGGCAGTCGCTTTAGCATATCCAGAAACATTATTTCCATTTCAAATTTAATAAAAATAATTCAAAAATATATTTTCATCTATATATATAGTACAGACTATATAAAATATTATTGCTGTTAACAAAAAACACAACTGGAAGTCATATAAGAACTTTTTTATCGATTTAAAAAAAAATGCAGCGAGTGACGTCATCGGTGGAAAGATGGCTGCATAATAATTATTAATTTATCGTTCTGTTTCATATATATATTGAAAAGAGTAAATTTAATTATAACTTTGTTAACAAGAGATTTTGAGGTGTTTTTAAAGCGATAGTTGTTAAACAGAGGCAAGATTTTTTAAACGAATACGATTTTTAACTTTGTTACTTATTTCGACAATATGGCTTAAGTAATTATTTTATTAAAATCATTAAAAAATTCTAAGACTCGGTTAAAATTTTATTTAAAAATTCTTGTTTTTGGAGCAATGATTTCATTTGTAGTGCATTATATAGAGGAAGAGAATATTATAGGTTTTAAATATCTATATCTAATTAAATTCATTATTTGATCAACTTTTCGGTACTCTCCAACTATGTATTTTATCTTGTATAAATGTATATATTATTATAAAAATTTCAAACGATTGACGTCAGATCACAAAAATTATGATTAATTGGTCAAAATTCCACGTCTATTATTACATATTACCATAATTTTTGAAACCAAACCATTTTTCGTACGTTTAAATCGGAACCTATATAGCTAGATTTTACAATATTTAGAGCTACTGTAAAATACATTTTTACAGCTATAAGTTGGTTTAAATGTCTTAATTTGGCAGCAAATCATAAGAAAAGATATACTTTTATAGCTAAAAACAGTTTTTTACTTGACATTAAAGACATTTTAAGACACTATTGTGTACGGACTGGCTAACTTCGATGCGATCCTGAAGCATTTTTGGCAATATATATAATTATATTTTCATAGATTTTTGATAATTTTGAGTATATTTTATTATCAAGAAGATATTATAACTAAATATACAACTCTAATCATATTAAATAAGTCCTAATAAACATTTTTAGCGAACGATTTACTCCATACCCAGATCGTAGTTTGCCAGCGTTTGGAGCCTAAATATTAATTTCCCATACATATTCAAGCTTAAATATTATAAAATATATATAAAACAATTAATATACTCACATAAACAGGCATCAGATCACAATAATATCCATTGGGAAAAGTTTCCATAACACATTTGTATGACAGTCTCAGTCCGCGCACTAACACTTCACAGAAAGGTTATTTTAACATTATAAATAAAAGTTTTTCAAATAAAAGTCACAACAATCACACAGTACGATAACAAAGCTATAATAAAAACAACTTTTCTAAATAGGCCTATAAGAATCTTATTCGACAATAATAGGATGCAAGTTTGCGAATTTTTTCGCGAGAACGCGCGACCGCCGTGCATTTAGGCCTACACAACACGCAACGAGAATTTAGATACAACATAACACAAAAACTGAACAATAATATTAATGTTATATATAATAATGATGATTATTATGAATATTAACGCGTTTATTATGTTAGTTATCTTGAGGGGTAGTAACAGGGTGTTGTTATAGGAGCGTATGATGCGCGTACGACTCGCAAAGACCAAATGGCGGGCCGCCACTGGCAATCGTTTAACCTCTCAAACGACCTCGCTGTCCAAATCAAGCGTCCAGTAGGTATAACTTACCTAGCCTGTACCAGACTTTCGTTTGGGAGAATTTTCCAGAAATTCACATGTATATATATATGTATATTTTGAAAAATAATCATATATATTTATACTGATCAATTTCTTTAAAATGAATTGACAATGATATTTCGCTTAAATCTAGTCAAATTCGAGACTATTATATTTTATGATTGAAATTACTGAATCTTTTTTTTATACATGTTTATAACTTTATATATAATGAGATGGTTTTGAGGAATAACAAATTTTTATACTTCAAGGAAGAATTAGGTACATATTTTTGACTACATGTAAATAGATTTTCCTTTTATTTAAAAATATTTAGTAGGTAATAAAATAATATCGGAAATAAAGTTGGGGACATAATAATTAAATATATTTAATATATGAACTATATATAAATACTGGTTTGATGTCTGTGTGTCCTTATTTTGAGATAATTTCATTATTGGGTTTAAATTTAATTTTACTTTAATAGGTAGCGTGTCACACATTAAAATAAGTATTCATGTTTTTAATGTAAGATATATTAAAAATAAACATAACAGCTACTAAAATACTTGTTAAACATATATTATATACTACATTTATTTATATATTTACACATATAAAACCTTTTTCGTCTTTAAATAATAATAATACTATTTTAGCTGCCTTTTCTTCGTGGTTTGGACTAAATATAGATAAAGAACTGCCATTATTATATAAAACGTAATTGTTCTTGTAAAGGAGCTTCTAAAAATAGTATTTAATAGAATTTGCCACCCCCTGAATTCGCTATGACCCCTTGGCATGTCGTATAAAAGGGGTTGTGTAGATTTTAAATTATATCACATAATACATATTTTACATTAAATAGCATTTATTGTAACGTATTTATTAAAATTTTATTATGTATATGTATACGTGAATTAATTACTAACGCTATAAGTACAGTCAAATGTTATTTTATGTCAAAATAGAATTTTTTGACGGTATTGAAAATCATTTTTTTTTCTAAGGATATGTCGAAGTAAGATGATTTGAAACCAGAAGACGTTAATAATATTATTTTAAATTTCTTTCTCATACTTTCTCTAAAATTATGTGACCTTGGTGAGTAAAACTCATTTGTCCAGGTTTTTTCAGTAAAATGAGAATTTATTTCTTATTTTTTTTTGAAGAAACCTTTAATTTATTTTATAATACGAATTTACAAATGTATTTTGTCTCCCCTTGGTTAAAGATATTTCTATTCTAATAGCTTTTCAATAATATATAAAATTTTTAATTATTTTTAGTGACAATAATTTTCTATTCCTTTTGTATATTACTTGTAAAGAGACTATACATATACAAACATACATGTGTGGGTGGGGAAATGCAAAGAATATTAATATTGAGTAATAAAAAACTTCTTCGACCAAAAAGTAAGAAAAAAAATGTAAATCTAGATGACGCAATGTAAAATAAGAAATGTTTTGCAAATGATTTTTGTATTTTAATAAATAAAACCTGATTTAATTTCTTTTATTTTCTTCAATTCCATTGTCTTCCGTCTTTATTAACCTTTAATCTTCCCAGAAAACAACAAAATAATATGTACTTAATGATTACTAATTAATTATTATTTAATTTTTAATAATTTCATCTACTACTTATTTTGTATGTTTAATTTTTCTAGATTAATAAAAGCATGAAATTAATTTAAATTAAAATAGTTTACGGCTAAACGTTTTTCTAAATAGTTTTGATAAAATCTGGACAAAAAATTGTCTTTCTTATAATCAACGTCAAGTATTATTTAGGTAAATTTGTCAAATACATTTAACGTTATGAAAATGAAGTCAAATAAGGTATATATATCCAGAAAATGGAAAAAGCCTGCAGATTATTGTTATTTATTATATTAAATGATATATTATATATAAATATATATTTTTCATCATAATAGGTACATTTAGTTATGCGTTTTGACAGCACCACAATATGGCGGACTTTATAAAGTGACTCTTTATTTTTATTGCTTAATTTCTTTTATATTATAAATTGTATATAAGAATCTTTGAAAATGTATTCATCTATTATGTACCATTAAAGGTCTCAAAACAAAATTTCTTAAGTAACAGTAAAATATGCGAATATGAATTTGATTTTACTTAGACACTAAAAAAATAGGTAAAATAGGTTTTCTTATAGGTAAGAAATAGTAGCTTTATCAACTAACCATATACAATGAATTAAAAATGTTTAAAATGTTACATTTTTAATAGAAGTAGGCGCTATACTGCATATTAATGTTTTTTTATATATCATATATAGTTTATGGTTCGCCATACAGCTTAAAGTGAAGAGAAAGTTATTTTTTTACTTAGACTTAACCTCAAGACTTAAAATCTTATGTATTATGAAAAGAAACTATATTTTTGTTAATTCACCAACCGCATTATTACAGATATGCAATATATATTATAAAATAATGTAAATAAATTATCGAAGTAAACTACTTTTATGGAAATTCCTAAGAAATCTGTTTGCTAACATGACTTACCATAGACAATGATATGTTTTATTAGTAACTCTTTGCAGCAAAGGTTTTATTATATACAGTTAATAATAGAAAATATTTTTTATATTATTTTATTTAATGGAGCTCAGATTTATTATCAGAATCTTGGAAGTACATTTCAATAAAATAAAAATATAATAGTAATTCTACTTTCTAGCAATCAGCCTAAAAATCATATAGCAGAAAAATATAACAGTAAGGTTTTACATATTTAGTAATATTATCCTTGAATATGCTTCATATAAACGCCTTAAAAACCTATATGGCTGAAAAGTATTCAAAGAATAAAACAAGCATTCGTATTATGCAACGTACTTTTTAAAACAATTTTACAAACATCACAATGGTTGCATATCCTTACAAGATATAAAAGAAAACTGAGGAAATGATATGAAAATATGTGAAAATAATAGATAATATGTTACACGTCATACAATTTCGTTGTTACACAAAATAATATAAAGTAATTTAGATTTTATGTATAGCCAGACAAGAAATATGTATAAAATAGCTAAAGCGCCACCTATGGATACGATTGTGTAAACTTTAATCTTCCTTTCCTCACTAGATGTCGCTAGTGGGAGATTACATTGGCTGAATGTAAAGAATCTTTGCCTCTGAAAAAATTTAAGTGACATTAATGATGTAGCTAACTTCACTCCATTACGCGAAACATTTTAAAACATGGCCTCCGTAAAGTTTGCTGTTGTTGATGCGAACGATTATTTATCAAAAAAACAGGCTTCGGATCCCGAATTAGCCTCAGATTGGGCCAAGTTAGAAGAACTATATAATAAGAAGTAAGTTATAAAACATTTCGGTACGTATATAAGTGATTGATGCTTGAAGTTACATGTCTCGTCTTTGTTTTCAGATTATGGCACCAACTTACATTAAAACTTCAAGAATTCGTAAAGCACCCCTCACTGCAGAGCGGCGACAACTTGATCCAGCTTTACAACAACTTCCTAGCTATATTTGAGAACAAGTATGTTTGTTTTGCAAGTCATCTTGCAATTCTTTATTAGCCTCCCGTGATAACCATTTCTCTCACCAATCATTAGAAATAACTGAAACTATACAAACACTCGCTTTATACGCTCCTTGGATACTTCAGTTTAACCTACAAATTATAAAAACATCATATAAATACATATAAGAATAAATCAAGATTTGAGAACAAATGTTATGGATATTGTTAATGAGGCTTCCTTAATAGTTTACTATTATTTTCAACTATTTGTACTGAAGAGTAACTTATTGATATATAACCTAATTAAAATTATAATTGATAGTAATGTAAGTGACAAAACTTCTGTGTCGGGTCCATCGTTGTAGTGAGAGGAGCTTCAACAGTGACTGTGACTTGTGACCCAGGTGTAGGTTTAAGGGACCCCTATCTAATGTTAAACGCTCACCTCCACCGTCCAAAATCATCTTTCTCGTCTCTAAATTTCTTAATGGAATGTTTATATATTTTTTCACAGAATCAATCCACTCTCCTTGGTAGAGATAGTTGCACACATTGTAGCTCAGTACGCAGACAAGAGAGAAGCAGTGGCATTCCTTGAAAAAATTGAAGCTAAAGTCAAAATGAATGCCGAGGCCCTCGCTCTGTGTAAGGTAAGTTACAAAATAAACAAAAAAACAATTGTAATAGACTTCAATTTCTGTATGAAAAGAAACAAATATAGAAATAGCTTTATAAGTAAAGGAATTATAGATATTTCTGAAATACTGCCTCCGAGGATTACATTCAATACATATACTTAGTCACCAAATTTTTATCATCTTAGTCAAATTAGTTTCATTATAAAAAGTATTCTACATATTATATAATAATGCTAATTTGAACTCTTCAATAATTTCCCAGGTCCTGCAAGGCCAAATCTATCTAGAACATCTAAACGATCTTGATGCTACCGAGAAAATAATTGATGTCCTCGAGAACACATTGGAGGATGCCGACGGGGTCACACCGGTACACGGACGATTTTACAAACTGGCTTCGGAGTATTACAGGTCGGTGATATGAAAATTTCTAAGGTTCTGAACTTATAAGATAATATGAGAGTAGTAAATAGACTTAATCATTAGTATATTACTAGTTAGTGAAGCAGAAACCTTTTATATATACAGGGTGACTGGTGAATTACTATCAATATTTGAGGACGTGATTTGTGACGATCATATATGACAAAATAAAAATTAATATAACATAAATATTAATAAACCTCTAAGTAAAGTTAACCAAAAGTTATGTAATTAATTACGCATCGTGTAAACACCCTACAGATTAGGTATACACCCACACTCACACATACGAGTGCGGCGGCGTTGTGTTGTATCAGCACGCCGCCGCACGCCTCCACACTTGGAACACTTGGAACGTGTCAACACTTTATTTATTTATACGGAAATTTTGTCAAAAATTAAGTGCCTATTTTTTTTACATAATTCGGATGAGAATCATGTACCGAGTATCCTCCTTAAATATTGATAGTAATTCACCAGTCACCCTGTATATATGGAATCTTATAAGACATATATAATTCTTTTTACTTGTTTTATCTATGTATATTACTAGCTTTCCGCCCGCGTGGAGTTCGGTTATATCGCGTTTCCAAGAGAACCTTTCAAAAGTCTGGTATCAAAACTATCCTATATTCTTTCTCAAGGTCAACTCTATCTCTGTACAAAATTTCATTAAAATCAGTTCAGTGGTTTAAGCGTAACAGACCAACAGACAGAGTTACTTTAACATTTATTATATTAGTAGGGATATGAAATCCTTTCTATATGAGTCCGAGTGGCACTCTACCGGTTAATGAATATTTGAACTTAGTAATATATTATATGAGATATACATACCTATGTATTAAACAATAGTATAAAAGTTTGATTTTACATAATAGTTTTTACCCGCGACTTGGTCTGCGATAATTTTGAAATTTGATATAAATAACTGACTACTATTCCGTTTTAGAGGCCTTAATTAACCAGATATTGGAATTTATTAGGTTATTGTTTTCAATCAAACAGCATTAATATCCTATGTCCGCCTCCTTGTTCTAATCTATCTCTCCACCAATTTCCATCCATATCCGTACAGTCGTTCTTGAGTTATAAATAGTGTAACTAACACGACTTTCTTTTATATATAAAGAAGGATTACAAGTTTATAAAACACTGAAATTGATGGTAAGGTAAAATTGAAGCCCTTACATGTTTTTATATTTTTAAATTAATTGGTTTATCACAAAATGTATTTAAAAATTTAATTACATATATTGTTACTTTATTTTATTATATTTAATTGTTATGTTTGACTTTCTTATATCTTCTTCTACCTGGCAATTTCCCGGCTATAGCCTTCGTCTGCCTTACATGTTGTGAATAGTTTTGGCTAATTGTTTTTACGACCGGCCGCCTGCCTGACATCAACCCTCTGGGAATGCATTAATCAGTGATGTCTAAATATTCTTAAAAAGTACATATGACTCGGAAAAATCACATTGGTACTTGCCCGGGCTAGGATCGAACCCGCGCCCTCATACATGAGAGGCGGGCCTTTTAACCACTAGGCCACCACTGACTTATATATACATATATTATTTCTATATTCCAGAGTCCGTGGCCCAATGGCTCGTTACTACGTAGCAGCGCTCCGCTACGTAGGATGTGCGGGTGGAGGGGCGGAGCTCCCTTTACACGAGCGACGCGCCGCAGCCCTACGACTAGCGCTTGCCGCTGTACTAGCACCCACCGTGTACGATCTGGGTGAACTGGTGGGTTATCACTGAAAAACACAATCATTGATATTTCTCTAATCTCAATACATAGTAAAGTCATGAATATAAGAAATATGAAAGACATAGTGACTAATATTTTAGCAATGACAGTACAGTGAATTTGAATATAAATATCTGTTCATATAAGATAACCGTTGTATCTTGAGATATCAACACTTGGAGTTAACTTGACCAAACAAATCATGTCATATTGGCAACTTTAAGTTTACTATTTACTATAAGAAATGCAGGCTCAATTAACGAATTTAAATCTCAACTTTGACAACATATTTTAGAAAATAATTGATATACCAATGATGTAACTTGTACACTTGTAATAATATCTTACTATCTTTAATTGAGTTCCAAATAATCTGGCTACTACTTTTGTATTTTCACTTTTGTATGTATGTTCTCATGTAAGTGACTATGTATTTTTTAGAATAAATTCTTTAAACCTAAAATCACGATAATGGTGAGTTATACATATATGTAGTTGCTGATTTGTCTTAAACAGACGTTCCAAAATTTATTTTGCTTATGCCCACTTTGAGAATAAATATTTTTTAGCGCCCACATTTTTCTACGGAAAAAAAACTATAACTTATCCTAGCTAAATTAAATTAGAAATCACACCCAAGCATATACACAACATCCCTATTTGTTTTGTCTCTTATCAACCTTTAAAGAAGTATGCAGCGCCCTCTAGAGGGCGTTATTGCCTTTGGATAACGCTGGCATATAACATCAAGATGATTTAAATATTGTTTCTTGAACATCATACAATCACTTAAATCTAGTAGCAAATAATTCCTTTAAACCTTTTAATATATTCTATCATACAGTTGGCTCATCCAATCTTGGAGTCACTCGAAGGTACTCCGGACTCGTGGGCCTGTGACCTGGTAAAAGCAGTTGCAGCCGGTGATGTGGTCGCCTTTGAGAAGATTAGGTAAAATAATATATACATATATATTATATACTAAACTGTTAGTCTAGACTTAATACTTTATCTAGACTAGATTAAGTATATTTAATTCTAAATGTGTTACCTGGGAGATTATATTTATATATATTAAACAATACAAAATCTCCGAGGATATTTGTGCGTCGGCCTCCAGACCAGACATATTTTTATATTCGCGTATTTTAAAGCGCGTTGTGATGATAGAGCTTACGGTTCCTTGGGAAACCAACATCCCCAAAGACCATACCATCAAGGTCAATAAATATTACGAACTCACTAACGAACTAACTCGAAATAGGTTCGTCGTTGATTTGTACGCGGTAGAGGTGGGAGCGAGATGTATAACAGCTAAATATCTCTACAACCTACTAAAAGACTTGGGCCTGTCCAGAACTAACATTAATACATTCTTAATACTAATTGATACTTGATTATAATGAATGGATTACTTCAACGCTTAATATTAATGATAAACACATTATTGTATGTGTGTGATGATTATTTTATATAATACTAGTTTTTGCCGCGACTCCGTCCGCGTGGAATAGTTACTTCCGGCAGATTTTTGGTTTTTTCCTCATAGTTCCCGTTCTTTCAGGGTTTTCGGAATGGTCGAGTTCCCGTAGAATTTTCGGGATAAAACCTATGTTTTTTTTTATTCACTAACCAACAACATATTAATTTGTTTATTTGAATAAAGATTAATAATAAATAATAATTATTTCGACCAAATTAGGTACCATAAAAACGGTTGTTGTGAGTTAATCTTAAAAGATAGACATATACTGTCGCGGAGTGTTTTTTAGATCATTAAAAGAACTATTATTCTTTAATACATATTTTTTGTGTATCTTGAACCGTTTCACGCAACGGAAGGCTTCAAAGATGAAATAATTTCTCCCGTTTTTTACACATTTACCACTATATCTTTGCTCCTATTGGTCGTAGCGTAATGTTATATAGCCCACAGCCTTCCTCGATAACTGGACTATCCAACACAAAAAGAATTATTCAATTCGAACCAGTAGTTTCGGAGATTAGCGCTTTCAAACAAACAAACAAACAAACTCTTCAGCTTTATAATATTAGTATAGATTATATAAAATAAATGATCAAAAAGTAAAATGAAGAAAATTCAAACATTTATACAGGGTGACTGGTGAGTTACTATCAATATTTAAGGACGTGGTAGTTGACGATCATATATGACAAAATAAAAATTAATATAACATAAATATTAATAAACTTCTAAGTAAAGTTAACCAAAAGTTATGTAATTAATTACGGATCGCGTGGATACCCTAGCTGCGTTATCGACACAAAACAGTTATGTACGTAGGTATATGTAGTTATCGCGCGGTAGTTTACCTACATCCAAACGCCGCGCGCCGCCGCGTGTTAGACCTTAGATAAACAAAAATGATCCATTTCCCTTCATACTTTAATCCTGGCTTAGGACAGGCAAAAATACCAAGATATTTCTTACGTTTAAGCAACCAATTTATTGACTAGGTAAATGGTGTGACCTTGACACAAAAAATAATATGAACTGTTTACCTATCTTGGTATTTCCGGCGTATTTAAAAATGGAATCATACTTATTTACAACAATTGTCAATCATTAAACTACCTATTTACCTACATAACTACACTAACCTTAACAAATGTTCAAAGCGAGCTCCTTCTCGTGTGATACACAGTTCGGCACGTTTACACATATTGTCTTTCACACGATTTAATACGAATAGGTCACTTTTAATAGTTTCGAAAACACTATTGATTTTTAATTTCAACTCCTCTCTGTTTACATACTCTGTAGCATACACAAGACGTTTCCTTGGGCATGTGTTGGAACACGGAACTGTCCGAAGTCTCGTAATCTTTGATTAGCGTTTAAGATGACGCTGGCCGTAGGTACTCGACGATTGGGGAACATCTCCCGGTACAAATTGATTGCGCCCCGCAAGCTTTCATTTGCACGCGCATACGCATAAACCATGTCCAAGTATTCTGCATTTGTGTATTGAAAAGCCATATTTAATTACTAATAAGTAATAACGGGTCACACGCACACACGACAGATTATTATTAGGTATACGAGTAAGATCGATCGCTAGGCGCGCGCGCGGGAAGACGAACGTACGGACCTTACGGCGGACCTCGCGCGACTAATAGCCGACTAATGGCCCGCTAGCCACGGGGCGGGGGTTGGGGAGTAGCGACACACTGGCGCCGGCAAGGATGAGTACGTATCCAAACTTTATTTATTTATACGGAAATTTGGTCAAAAATTAAGTACCTATTTTTTTTACATAATTCGAATGAGAATCATGTACCGAGTATGCTCCTTAAATATTGATAGTAACTCACCAGTAACCCTGTATACTTATACAACATAATGAAATCTATTCCTCCATACCATTAGTGTATTTTTCATTTTATTTGTATGTATGTACATATGTATGTTATAATTTATTTAATTTACAGAGCACAATCTCCTCACCAAGAACTACATCGGGCTGATCGTCAGTTGAGACAGAAGATTGCTATACTGTGTCTCATGGAGGTAAAAAATATTTGATTTATATCTATACAGGGTGACTGGTGAATTACTATCGATACTCGAGGACGTGATATTTGACGATCATATATGACAAAATAAAAATTAATATAACATAAATATTAATAAACTTCTAAGTTAACCAAAAGTTATGTAATTAATTACGCATCGTGTGAACACCCTGCAGATTAGGTATACACAAACACACACACGCGTGCGGCGGCGTGGTGTTGTATCAGCACGCCGCCGCACGCGTCCACACTTGGAACGTGTCCACACTTTATTTATTTATACGAAAATTTGGTCTAAAATTAAGTACCTATTTTTTTACATAATTCGAATGAGAATCATGTACCGAGTATTCTCCTTAAATAATTGATAGTAATTCATCAGTCACCCTGTATATACTATCAATTTGACTCATTCAAAAAGAATATTTATTGAAGCTTTTCTAGATTCTGTCATAACCTTTGTATTTTAATGAGATTCAGTCTCAATGTTATACATATATCACAAAACTTTACTAAGAATTGATGAATTCAAAATGTGCATATCAATACAAAAAAAAATAGAATAGAAGAGAAGTATATTCTCAATAACATATTTATAAATAGTGAAATCTAAAACATTGTATTGTATACTTTAAGATCTATGTGTTGATATTATTATTATAGAAAAACTAGCTTTTCGCCCACAGCTTCGCCCGCATGGAGTTCGGTTATATCGCGTTTCCAAGAGATCATTTCAAAAGTCTGGGATAAAAACTATCCTATGTTCTTTCTCAAGGTCAACTCTGTGTCTGTACCAAATTTCATTAAAATCAGTTCAGTGGTTTAGGCGTGACCGCGTAACAGACAGACAGAGTGACTTTCGCATTTATTTATTTATAATATTAGTAGGGATGAACCATTTTTATTTTGATTATACTTATAATTAATGTTTTATAGATGGCGTTCAACCGTTCATCTACTCAAAGGAAGTTGACGTTTGCTGAGATAGCTCGAGCTGCCCGAGTGCCTGCCTCGGATGTGGAACTACTGGTGATGAAGGCACTCGCTGAAAAACTTGTCCGAGGACATATTGATCAGGTATAGTATGAGATATCTATCTATATATATAAAAATGAATTGCTGTTCGTTAGTCTCACTAGGACTCGAACACGGCTGAACGGATTTACCATATCTTAGTCTTGAAATGTTCGTGGAGGTTCAGGGAAGGTTTAAAAGCTGAAGAAAATTGATTCATTTCCAGGAGAACTCTAATAACAGACCTTTTCTATTTCCCATACAAACGGGTTTTTTGATATTAAATTTGACAACTAATATGTCAATCATTCTGTCGCACTCCAAAACACGGAGATTTATGGCTTACAGGTAAACTCCAAAAATATAAATAAAAAAACGTAATAGATATTTCTTGATTATAGAGCGATACGAAGTTCGCCGGGTCTTCTAGTTCATCTATTACATACAGTAGAAACTCTATTAACCGGACTAATTATTGTCGGTAGGCATTCAGATAATCGAATGTATGAAAAGCTGATTTTGGGCTTATGTTGTACATAATGTTATATGTTTAGTTAAAAAGTAATGTATTTGGAAATTGTAATGAATTATAATAATAAGTATAATTTGTTAGAATATTTGTTAATTGTCTTTTGACGTCCGTTTGTTTATTTATATTTTTGGAGTTTACCTATTAAAGCCGTAAATCTCCGTGTTTTGAAGTGCGACAGAATGATTGACATATTAGTTAGTTGTCAAATCTAATGTCAAAAAAAACTTTTGTATCAACAACTACTAATAAATTAAAAATTAATTAAAAAAACATTGTCCAGCTGACGAAATTGTGAATCTAAACCATTCCCAGATCCCCTTGAACACACACAAAATATCATCAAAATCGGTGTAGTCGTTTGAGAGAAGTTCAGTGACATACACACTCACAGAAGAATTATATATATAAAGATTTGTTTTTATAGGTGAACGAGACAGTTAGTATAACGTGGGTGCGAGCCAGGGCTTTAGGCAGGGCTGGCGCAGGGCGGCTTGCAGCTCGACTTGACGCGTGGTGCGCGGCCGCTGCAGCCGCTGAGGGACTACTACAGAGAACAGCCCCGGATTTACTCACACTGTAAGAATATATGAATATACAATATATATAATACACTGTCTCACGTACCCCACTAGAGGGGTGGCATGCGCTCGGCAGTGTCACGACTAGCGCGGAGCAGAACGGGGACGTGCGTCGCTCTAGGCGAGGTAGTGAGACAGTGACTAGTTATACTTACGTATAGGACGACGGATCCTATAATATGCATAAACATGTATAGTCGGGGATAGTGCAAACAAATGTAACTAGCATTGGATAATTCCACGTATCTATATTAGAAGCAGATCAGAAGAAAGTTTGAGATGAAATATTTTCTATATTAATGACTTAAAGTAATTTTTTTTTACAATTAGTAATTATTAAGGGGTTTAATTTATTACTAATTGTGAAAAAACATCTTCAAAGCCGTTAATATATAAAAAATGTCAGCTTAAACTTTCTCCTAATAATCTGCTTCCAATGCAGATACGCGGAATTATCCAATGCTAGTAACGTTGATTTGCACTATCCCCGACGATATGTATATATACATAGAAATACTATGGATTTAACTCTGAGTAATGCTTTCAATTTGCTTTACCATAAAGTTATTGTGTTTTGAAACTAATTAGTGAAATACTTGTTAAACTTGATATAAATGTACTTATATATTTTAAACTAGCTTTCCGCCCGCAGCTTCGCCCGCGTCGAGTTCGGTTATATCGCGTTTCCAAGAGAACCTTTCAAAAGTCTGGGATAAAAACTATCCTATGTTCTTTCTCAAGGTCAACTCTATGTCTGTACCAAATTTCATTAAAATGAGTTAAGTGGTTTAAGTGTGAACGCGTAACAGACAGACAGACAATTACTTTCGCATTTATAATATTAGTAGAAATGTTCATTCAATATAGTGATGGCCTGATATATGTATTTGGATATGAGTTGGAACAACTATAAATTTGTAATTTTCCTGTATTATGTTTTGTATAAAATTATTATACATATTTGTAATTTTAATAATAATCCTTTATATTATTTCATTATATAAATATTGTTTTTCTTTTGAACTGATACAAGCTAATGTTGTATTTTTGTTTCAGATGAAGACGTCAATAGCATTATAATTTACATATAACTATTATATAATATTATTAATAAAAGAACATCAATAAATATCATGACTTTTTTTTATAATATATTATGGTGTTTTAAAATGGTCTAAATCCTGGACATAAGCATTTTTAAAACCTCATCCATTCTGGGTTCATTTTCTCTTGTTTTTATTATTTGAGTTGTCCAAAAAAATACATATATATGTATATTGTGTTCTGGTAAACTTAAAAAAATCTTAAATACCTAAACAAGAGTATGATGAAAATAAAATGAAACTACAAATAAAAACTGATGTTAAAATTAGCCTTCCTGACTAGTAATAAACATGTGAAATAATTTGTTTTGCTCTATAATAAATTCTTAAAGTATAATAAAATTGAATGATATCTTAGACTCGAGTATTCATTTAAATAAAACTTATATTTTCGTATGTACTGAGATGACATCTCGTCTGTCAGTGATCACGGTTGGCGAAATAACTGAAACGTCGGGAGTATGTAGATAAAATAATAAAATACGCGAAGTAAATAGAAAACATTACTTTTATTTATAGTAACTATTAATTGAAATTTTATTATTAAAAAATACTACCATCTAGTTGAAAAATATTCCAATAACACAATATATCCTTTAAAAAAAATTAACTATACTTTTAATGTCAAAATTTACGAAAATAGTTCCTTTTCGCTGTTTCAATGTACATATTTCAGTAAATTCTTAGATATTTTTTTGCATTAAATCTGTAAACATTTTGAATCTAGCCCCAAGATGTTTTTTTGATCATTCCCCTAATAAAATTTTCCTGTAATATTATCGAAAACGCTCTTTCAAATTCTAATATATTTAAACCAGCCAGATAAAGCAATGTGGCCTAGTGTAGGATTTTCTTTATATTTTAGTACAAAAAACTTAAAAAATACAAGCAAATGACCTTTACATCCTCTAAATAAAAAATTCGGGTTAAATTTTCAAAATATTCACTCAAAACATACTCTAAAATGACACTTGATTTTTCTTAAAATAATTACAGCCACTTGATTAGAAAATACTACATTAAGTAAGAAATAGATGATTTCACTAAAACTTGTACCACCTTTTAAAGAAATTGCCGTAATATTTTGATATAAATGAATACCAGAAAGGTAAAATGTTCTCTGAATATTTTGCAGTGTTACACATAATTGGTAGTAGAATCTTTGTTTAGTAAAGATTGTTCGATAAAAAATCTATATAAGATACATTGCCACATTGGATTTCCTGTAACTGTTTAAAAAACTACAAATGTTGGTGTATCGGGGGCCTAACAAAAATTTTTATTAGAAAGACCATCATACCATCGTATATATCGCATTTGGGTTTAAATAGTAATGACAAAATACGTGATTTTTATTATTTAATATATGGCTTCATTTACACTGAATTTGTAACAGTTTTGCTGATGCCAAAGTTTTTTATATTTAGTTATTAATTATAATATTTTACAAATAAATTTTGGTTGGTTGGTTGCTTTGGAATATAAAGTATGTTTTGACACAAAATCATTTCTGACAAACGTCACAAATAGCAATGTTGCCAGAGCCTAAGGAATCATAAGATATCAATGAAAAATAATTTGTTTACGTTATTAATGCTATATGATTAAACATTTTAATATTTATCTATCATATAAAGTATAATGGTAAGGCTATATTATTTACTATTAATTAATAACATTTTCTTCATCATAGACATCGATTTATGGACTCAAGCTGTAAATGGCGTCCGCGTGACGGTCATTGCATGCCGTCAAAATGCATTTTCATTACTTTGAAAATATCTTCAAAACGTTAATATGATACCGATCTTACATGATATATTGTAGGTAAATCATTATTATCCATAACAATCAATCAATAACTTTATTTTTATCATTAATCTTAGCTTGCGACGTCATTCCCCGTCTCGCTCGTATGTTCCTTCAGTCATTATTTACAATTGGTGATATATATGCATCTCTTTCGTTCACAGTTTTCTTGCAGTCGGTTTTTCATTTTTATGTGTCCGCACGAACGAGACCACGGGAGGAAAGCAGGGCCCAGTGGAAAAATATTAACAAATTTTTGCTCTGCATTTATTGATTTTTTCATAGTTAAAAAACATTGGACGCTAATTGCATACGTGATGGTAGCGCGCGGCTCGAACCCGTGAGTATTGTTTCTATTTTAATGTATATCCCATATATATCGTGGAAAGTTATCATTTTTCAGCATTTAAGAGTACACACCGCTTTAATATTCTATATATAGATGGTTGTAATTGTTTAAATATTGATTTTTTTTATCGGGGACTGTGCATGTGTGAGTCAGGCGTATGTTTATAACATTTGGGGCCTGCGATATTTTGGGAACGGGAACTGTTCGCTTTGTATGTTCAAATCATTATGCTCTCGTAGCGTCAAGAGTGCATGAAGGAACTTTCAGTGCTATCAGTGATTTTCCGTTTTGTAAAATACTAATTAGATTTCATTCCGCGGCACGTTTCCGGTGAGTTTTGACAACTATTTTATCGGTCATTTTGATGTTTGTGACGGAATTTCGTGAGATAAGATTTTTCATTTTCTTAAAAAATGTTAGAAATTGTAAATGCTCGAGTTTTTGTTATCAGACCCTTAAGATAACGTGGTTGAGGTATAATATGATTCGTATCGGAATTAAAATTGTATCGCTGTAACTAATACTTACAGTGAAAATTGTTTTCGTGTATAAAAATATTAAAATGTTTGTTTATTTGTATAATATCGAAGAAAATACCCAAAAATAATATTATTATTTCAATAATAAGACGAATTGGTCTACTGGTTTGTTTAAAAATCTCCGCATTATATTAATTAGGACCCAATTAGCGGATGAATAAAAAAAACAACAATACCATAAAGATTGTTTTTTTTCTTTAAAACTCAATGCCACGCTTCAGCTTCTAGTTTATTGGAATCCATTATTATGTTAATATTTTAAGTAACTAATCACGACGCACGCTCTTTTATTTATTATAAATAACTATAAAAACTTTACATAAACTACTTTGGTTTAAAATACATGATATATTATATACTTCTCATAGTAACAACATTTTTTATATCTTAATTATTTATATTTGAAAAAAATCTCCGTGTCTATAGTAATTATTTTATCTGAATATTATAAGAAATTAACCTAATTCTGACGAATTTTATTATATTTATTACGTGAGAAAGCTAGGTAATTATGTTTTTCTATATTATAGAATTTTAATTTTTGTAACGTAGAGTCAGTTAATTACTAATGCTTAAATGAATTAAGTTCAAAATATCGAAATTTAATTCAGATAAAAAGAAATCGCCTTAATATTATTAAATGTAGGAATAAATATACATATTAATAATTAGGGTACGATTTAACTTGTCTTTTGAAAGTTACTTGTTAAACAATTTATATTTAAACTAGGATTAAACAAAATCATATAAACTGGCCGTGTAATTTTGACAATGCAAGTTTATTTTAAACTACGATTAAAAAAAATACTTTTTTATTATAAATAAAAATCTTGTTAGGCGTATACAGCATATACAAAATGAAGAACCTTTTTAGTAACTGCTTAAAAATGACTGATGTACACAAACTATTGAATAATCTATTGTATTTACGAACTACGAATCATCTGATTATATTAGATCATCGTTGATATTTAAAACATTAATGCTATAAGACGAAAAGATATTTATTTTACACCATAATCGGTAGATCTACTGTAAATTATATATAATTTATTACATGATTTGAAATTTTATCAAAACTCAACCGTCAATGAATATGAAATTGACGTATTTTTTTTTAAATATAATTCAAAATAAGAAGACCAAAGTTCATTCTATTCATCCAAACTATATATATCAGATCATTTGAGGTCATTTCACGTGTCAGATGGCCTCTTCCAAATATAGTATCATATACAGTCGCGTTGAGACCCCCGTACAGTTTATTTCGGGCGCGCCCCTAGGGTCGTTGGCCCGGACCCACCCGCCGGGGAGACTTTTTATTTATTTAAAAGGGAACAGCTCTCTAGAACTGTCTGTCGCGTATTGTTTTTAACTCGAACGATTATCGATCGTATTTAAGAATGTATTGGATGTATTAAAATATATTTCACTTAATTTTAAACTTATACTAATTCTACTATGAGATGGCTGTATAAAATAGACAATTTTTTTTTGGCTGTCATATTTGACGTTTAAAAAAAAACGTTGAAATTATTTATAGTTTTTCATATATTATTGTAATTAAGTTATTTTAATTAACGTGTTTGTCTTATATGTACGTATTGAGACAATGTAATTGTCAGATCCAAGCGAGGGTGAGTGGCGTCGTTGGTTATTGATTTTTTTATGTTCTCGTCTAGTTTTTTATTTGTAACATTTGTTGGGGGAATTTTCCGATAGCTCCATCTCACTCGCACATCTGAAAAGCTTCGTTTTTCCATATAAAATGACCACCATTGTTTTTATTTGTAAATAATTTTACAATTTACGAACACAGGTATTGACGTGAATTATAATTAATTCAAATTTTAATTTTCGTTGTTTTTGTTATAGCAATATATTTTTTTAATTTTGTATATAAATGCTATACTTTCGTTTAAATTTATATTTCATCATCGGAAAATCGTAAAAGCTATAACTATTTATATTAGTGATTCATAAATAATTTAGATAATATTGAAAACTTCATCTCAAGTACCAATAAATTACTAATTATTTATTTAATTATATATATTTATATTATAATAATATTTTTCTATTACAGGTGCCCAAAGAAAACTGTCACATGTTCCAGTATTGTAAATACAATCTAGTCTTACAGTTTCTAACTGAATTTATATGTACTTATGTTTAGTAAATAATCTGTGATATAAAACCTTATTGGTGTACTTTATATGTAAGGACTGAATAAGTATTGGCCAAAGAGTATTATGTATATTATATATTAAAAAATAAAGTGACAACATGGCATTGCCTCCACAGCAGTTTTGTGTAAGGTGGAACTCCTATCATACTAATTTACAGGTAATATATTAAATATTAATTAATAAGAAAATTAAATATAGTTAAAACATAGTTAAGAAGCTAGAATATATATAAGAAATTGTTATAAAAAAAAAAAAAATTGTCTTTATACAGATTATCAGAAATATATGTTTTATATTGCACAGACTATAAAACAATTTGAAGTATACACATTATATACAAATATAGATTAAATATGAATTATAATTCAAAATTCTTTATATTAATTCCCTATATATATGTTTTTATATTATTTTACAGGCAGTTTTCCCTCGATTGCTACTAACTGAGCAATTTGCTGATGTCACACTAGCCTGTGAGTCTAAACAGTTGAGATGCCACAAGTTAGTTCTATCAGCTTGTTCTGCGTACTTGGAAAGACTCCTGTTGCAGAATCCTTGCAAGCATCCCATTGTACTTATGAGGGATATGAGGTAATAATACATACATACATACATACATACATACATACATACGTGATCATAAGAAGTAAGGATATATTAATAAAGCTAAAAATAGAGTGACAGACAGTGAAGGAAAACATCGTGAGGAAACCTAAACTTATAATATTAAACTTTAAGTTTGAAATCACCAACCCGTCTTGAGTAAGCGTGGTGATTAATGCTCAAACCTTCTTCATGTGAGAAGAGGCTCAGCAGTGGGCTCTGATAGGATGATGATGACAAAAAAGAGTAGGATTTTTAATAATGGTTGCAAAAATATTCGACACAGAATTTTGTCTGAAAAAACTAATTTTATTCTATATAAGTACCATAAACACTAATGGGATTGGCTATTGGGATGTTTTTGAGTTAATATCAAACACACACACATACATACATATATACATATATATATGTAACTCATTATAGTATATATTTTGTTGTCAGGTTCAGTGAAATGCAAGCCCTAGTTGATTTCATGTACAAAGGAGAAGTGAATGTCACGCAAGAAGAACTCCCGAGTCTACTGAAATCTGCTGAAGCTCTGCAAATAAGAGGTGATGTATCATGATCCAAAATAGATTATACGGTCAACAAAAAAATGTACTGCACGCAAAAACTATAAGGAATAAAATCTATATATATAAAAATGAATTGCTGTTCGTTAGTCTCACTAAAACTCGAAAACGGCTGAACGGATTTATCTTATCTTGGTCTTGAAATGTTCATGGAGGTTCAGGGAAGGATTAAAAGCTGAAAAAAATTTAATAATTTCCGGGAAAACCCTAAAAACAGCGCTTTTCTATTTCCCATACAAATGTTTTCTTTGACATTAGATTTGACAACTAACTAATATGTCAATCATTCTGTTCGATTGAAACAGCAAAAACTTGATTATTTATGGCCACCCGGTCAGCTATACATATATTACTAATGACGAGACTAACGCGGACGAAGTCGCGGGCAAAAACTAGTTAAAAATATTGAATACATTTTTGTTGATGATTGTACTCATTACGTCACATGTTATTATATATCTGTGGCTGATGTATTATGTTAGTACTAGCTTTCCGCCCGCAGCTTTGCCCGCGTGGAGTTCGGTTATATCGCGTTTCCAAGAGAACCTTTCAAAAGTCTGTGATAAAAACTATCCTATGTTCTTTCCCAAGGTCAACTCTATATCTGTACCAAATTTCATTAAAATCAGTTCAGTTGTTTAGGCGTGAAAGCTTAACAGACAGACAGACAGAGTTACTTTCGCATTTATAATATTTTGTCACCTACCCTCAGGTCTGTGTTCCGGTGAGTCCGTCTCTTCAGCCCCGGGCTCCGCCCCCGGGGACTCCAAAGACTTCTCCGTAGCCAGCGACGCTCTCCTCGCTCACGCGAACAAGGAAACTACCGCAGGTGAACTAACATACTAGCTCATACCCTGGCTTTGTTCGTTCTGTACGATATAATAAAAGTACTAGAATTGACATAATAGAACACGTGATTATAAATGTAGTTGTTACTTGATTCTTCTTCTTCTACCTGGCAATTTTCCCAGCTTTAGCCAGGGTATGCCTTACATGTTGTAATAGTTTTGGCTAATTGTTTTTACGACTGGCCGCCTGCCTGACATCAACCCTCTTTGGGAATGCATTAATCAGTGATGTCTAAATACTCTTAGAAAGTACATATGACTCGGAAAAATCACATTGGTACTTGCCAGGATCGAACCCGCGCCCTCGTGCACGAGAGGTGTATCTCTAACTACTAGGACACCACTAACTAAGTTACTTGATACTTATATATTATTATTATTTAAAAGGTTTAAATGTAAAAATTAATAAAAGTTTGATGTTCTATTGTAATCTCTCTAGTAGCTATTAATTATTTCAATTAATGTTGATTCCCAAAAAGAGGGTTGATGTCAGGCAGGCGGCCGGTCGTAAAAACAAATAGCCAAAAAAACTATTCACAACATGTAAGGCAGACCCTGGCTATAGCCGGGAAATTGCCAGGTAGATATGAAATATTGAAAATTTTTTGTTGGTAGAAAACTGTTTCAGTCAAATATTTGAAATTTTTTAGAAGGTTTTATCATTTAATCTTCTTTTTTCTATAGTCCCAGCTAATATATTAGTCGCGTATGGAACGAGTGTTTAAAAGTCGCCTGACAAAAAAATTGTTGTTACAAAATAAAATTACACTTTTCTTAAATAAAAAATGTCGTTTTGTAGTTGTGGACAAATAAATATGATAAGGGTATAATTTTAAAATTATTAATATTACTTGGTTAAAATTTTGACATTTTCAACTTTTAAAAATTATATTTTCCCAATATAAAATCAATGATATTAATAGTTTATGTTGTTCGTGAATGTCCAAACTATTTTTTAAGCTGATAAGGTATAAAGTACTACTTTATACTATTGTTCTGAGTTCAAAAACGTCATGTGTTTTGAACCTGTCTCTTCTGAGGCATTTCGCCTCAGTCACTTTGCCATTTGCGCCGTAATGTCCAACAAATATACATAATTACAATAACATTTTAGTTCTCAAACTTAATGATAAGCTTATGTTTATACAACTATACAACATCATCTTGAAGTAATCTAATTTTTTTTTAATATTTATTAACAGCGCCACAGAAAACACCAAAAAAAAGCAAATCAGAAGAAAGAGATAAGACGGATGTTAAAGAAGAGACTGTCGAAGAAGATGGACTGTACTACGGAGAACTTGAGAACGAACATATGGACTATAACGAGGTACGGACTGTTGTGTACAACAGTACACAAGTCACACGTGTACAAACGTCGAACATGTACAACAGTATTCACAAGTCACACGTGTATAAATGTCAAACGTGTACAACAAACATGTATAAGCAAAATTCAATGCATTTTTATTATAAGTTTTTGATATGATGGTAGGATTGAATTAATAAATATGTTAATAAATTAATTATTTTCAGGACGAGGAATCAGGCAAGCCGAGTAGTAGTTTAGGACAGACGTCAGGTAAGTCTTTATACATATATATGTATTATATAATGTGTTTCTTATGTACATAATGTTTCCGCGGTTTTCGTGTCGGTTAGCGTTTTATTGTGACGTGTTTATATCGTGAATGGCCAATAAAATGATTGTCTGTAAGGTAGGACGGTATTTTTATTAGTAGCAAATATATTATATTGAATCAAATCTTATAGATGAACCATGAATGTTTAAAAAAATATATAATTTTCGGTTTTTATTTCGGTTATTTTGTTTTTATTGGCTAAATTATTGTATGTTTGAAATTTTTGTTCGTTATAATCTTACAGACATCATTTTTTAGCATTCATGGTTCGTTTGTTGTGGCGATGTATTTTTCTATTATTTTGTTTTTCTGTTTCAGGTCGCTATATACGCGTGAAACCGGAGAGCGAGTTGTTTTTCCAGAATAAACTGATGGAGAATTCTGCGTATGTCAAGAGACTAGCGAAGATGGACCCAGCGGAAATACAGAAAGAATTCACCAAATATGGCCTAACTAATATCGAAGATTTACAGAGAAACGAGAATGATTACTATAAACTATGGCTAGAACAGAACGGAGAGCTGGAAGTCTCTTTACTGAAGACGAATCAGGTTAAGAAGAAGAATGAAATCAAGAATCAGAAGTCAGAAGTCGAGCTTATACCAAGAAATAGAGAGATTTACTCCAAAATTGGGGAGAAAATAGCAAGAAAACGCGGAAGACCGCCCATTTTTAAGGATAAAAACGTGGATATTGGTGAAACCGTGCTTAAGGCGGATTTAGATCAATTCTTGGAGGGAAAAGAGGTGAGCTCTTCAGGGTTGTCAAGAAAAGATTTAGAGAGAGTCATGATGGGCAAGTTTAACCCTAACAGAAGATATTCCAACGAAGCGATGTGGGCAGCCCTGATGGACGTTAAAAAAGGCGGCAGTATATACAGGTACTTAGATCTAAGATTATCGAAAATATTCATTTAAATGAAACTCATATTTTTCGGATGTACTACAAGACTTTATTTTTGATAAAAAAAACTACATACTCCCGACGTTTCGCCTAGTTTACATCAACCGTGATCTCATCATCTCGTCTGTCTGTTTTCTTCCTGTCAATTTCCCAGCTTTAGCCAGAGTCTGCCTTACATATTGTGAATAGTTTTGGCTAATTGCTTTTACGATCCGCCTGCCTGACATCAACCCTCTTTGGGAATGCATTAATCAGTGATGATTATCATCTCGTCTGTCGCGTAGTATATCCGAAAAAATATTAGTTTCATATACATATACATTAATTAGCTGAAGTACAAATATTTTATCGATCTATTCATCATAAAATCTATTTCAGGGCGGCTCAAACTCACAAAGTTCCGCGAAAATCACTAAGAAACTGGATGAAGAGGTGTCATATAAAATCTTCATTCCCTATGCCGCAACAACTGAAACAATTTGTGGAAAACAATAAGAAACAACGTGATTATCAACATCAAGAGAACGATAAAAGCGATAATGTCGACGAAAACGAATTTGGGAAACACTTTTTATTCAATCAGGTGTCCAGCGAAGACGAAGTCAGGGACAAAAATATAGCTAGCGATACTAACATCGCCTTAGACATGTCTTTACACGAATGATTTCAAACTAAAATCATTTTAAACATGTCTATTTAATACGTGCAATTTTATACGGCAATACACGTTCTACGCAATGAACTTACTGCCAAAGATTATTCAAAGATTATATATATATAATACACGAAATTTAATTGAATATAATCGTTTGCAATCCTACGTCCAAAGATATAATTGAATATTGTTTAATTATATGGTAGAAATAATACTACCAAATGGTAGAAAAACTACCAAGAAATGGTAGGAAATTATTAATTTATTATTATATATGTAGTAGTGTACGCGAATTTGCCTTCAAGAAATACGGTGTGCTGGGGACTATGTCCGGATTTAATGTAAAAGACTTAAATAAAAATGTAGTTTAGTTTTAAGTGAGGTTTTGAACTGTTTTTAATATTATACAAGACAGGATGACGAATGTAAGAATAATTTATTTGTTATATTATGTTCCACATCGAAGGTCGCGGGTTCAATACCGGTTTTGGCAGAATATATTCATATACATATATGTATGTATATACATTATTAATATTGATGTTTTTAAAGACTTTTTTCTGTGGAATCTTCTGATACGGTCTAAAACCGATCTTGTACCCCCGCTATATGTTCCTACGTTAAAAATTTTTTCTTTATTATTTTAACTTCCCCAATAACGTGATGTTTTTACTATATTTTTTTTTTATTAATTATTAATATTCACTAGATGTGATAATGTATTGTTTGATTTGACGTTTATCACAGTGTTGCCAGAATAAAAAATAGTAGAAACATCACAGGATCCATAAAGTGCCTATTAGTAATAAATAGTTTTTAAGGCCTTGTAGATATAATTGTTTTCAGTATTATTTCATTGTACTATTAAATTGGTTTTACACACTCGGATCGAATCGCACTTTTCTTTTAATTGTTCTATGCCACGTGCGTTTCCGGTCCGCCATCTTTATTATAATTTTTGAATGATTTGATCGTTCCAATAATTGCAATCTTAAATATTATTTAAGCTGACACCAAAAAAGAAATTTGAAATTAAATTTTCATTTATTTTCATGTACTTAATTATTTGTATAGTATTACTCATGACGGTAGGTTTTCTTGTCTTGATGTTAATTTATTTAGTAATTTAATTTGATTAGTAACCGAGCACACTTCCGTTCATATAAATAAATCGTCCTTTATATAGATATATGGATTGTACTCGTTGTATTGAGGATTTAATAAACATTATACAACAAAATGTTGTTTCCTTTAACTTTAAAACCATATAATGACATTAGAGCGGCTTTTCCTCGCTTTTTACGCTTTCCCGCTCGCATCTTGTAGGAAGCCAGGAAAAGAAACGCCCTGTCAAAGACGTCACAGTGTTGCCATTACAAAAAACAATGATTATTACCAAAAACTACTAAAGGGCTGTTTCTTTCCCTCGCTTTCAGGTGTGCGGACTTCCACGGAAATTGTAACGAGGCATTACATCGACCTGGATAACGGTATACCTTTAAACATTCACGCGAGACCGAGACTTATAGGCAGGCGACCGAACGCCATAGTTAATATAGAGACTGACGTTTTTCAAGAGAAGTCTTATAAGCAATACTCATCACAACATTTAAGAGATGCTCTCATAGCTGTTAAGAAAGGCTACAGCGTGTACGCGGCGTCGAATAAATACGGTGTGCCCAGAAAAACATTGAGGAACTGGATGGCGAAGTATGATATAAAGAGTCAGTTCTCAAAAGGCAGGAGAGGTACCAGGACCAATCAAATCTTAGACCCATTGGATTTAATGGAAGAAACGAGATCTGAAAGATTTGAGGGTAGTTTGTAGCTACACTTATAAATTGTATCAACCGAAATGCTTAGTCCGAGCTATCGTCACACTATAGACGAAAAGTTAATAGTTTTTCACGCGTAAATTTGCGTGTGTAGTGTGTAAAAGAAAACTTGGACTAAACACCATATGTATATTGGGTAAATATTCAATTATACATTGAATCTGCTTCCATTTAATTAATATTGATTTTTTTCTTGTACTTATATTATTACAACGATTCAGGTTCAAAAAATATTAAATAAAATATAAGGTTTGATAAGAGGCCTAATAAATTATTTGGTTTTGATCGCTACTATGAAATTCTTTTGTAAATAATTATTAATTAATTTCTCCCTTATTTTAACGCACATAATATACTTACACTACGAGGCTGTTTTAATATATTTAAACTACCGTCAATTTAAATTTAAATAATTAATTATAATAATTAATAAAATTTTGTATGACTTTATAATGTAAGGTACTGTGAATAAGTATTATTATATTTAATTTAATATTATCCCTACTAATATTATACATGCGTAAGTAACTCTGTCTGTCTGTCTCTTATGCTTTCACGCCTAAATCACTGAACTGATTTTAATGAAGTTTGGTAGTGATAGAGTTGACCTTGAGAAAGAACATAGGATAGTTTTTATCCCAGACTTTTGAAAGGTTCTCTTGGAAACGCGATATAAGAGAACTACACGAACTACACTAACTATATAAATATTCTTATTTTGTGGCTGGAATTTTGTTAAAATAATCATTTTAGACTATTTTAACTTATTCTACAATATATATGTCAAGATAAAAAAAATATTCCTGCCATGTATTAATTATTGAAGCTCAAATTATATTTTTCTTTACGTTTAATTTGTTTAACATAGTCAAAATGATTTTTTGGACCCTTGTATATAATAATTTGTAAGAATGGCTCGTATACTTATAATTAAGAATGAATTTTTGATAATATATATTGTAATTATAAATATTTAATTATATTAATATATTTTTTATCTAAATTAGGTTAAAATAAAATTGTTTTATGTAATGTGCTTGTCATCTAGTCTAGTGTAAGTGTGTCAATTGTGTTGCCATTTCTTAAAAAACTACCATTTTTTTCATGTTATTTTTCTACTATTAATTAAATGGCAATATTGTCTAGTGTTGCCGTTACTAGAAATAATTGTTTAAGTTTGAAATTAATATTCTGTGCCAATATTTATTTATTTTTAATATTTTTTTTTAGTTCCTAAAACCAAAGTAAGTCCAAAGTAATATATATATTATATCTAGTGAAACTTTTTATGTATGTAAATTATATTTTTAAATAAATAAAGATTATTAGAGTATGTAATGAGTTTTTATGTTAATTGACAACAGAATAAATAAGAACCAATAACTAAACATAGACAATGTTATTTTTACATTAAAAATTCTGTCATTTTTTTTATTATTAAATTTCACTAAAATCCTTCATTTCATGGAAAGTTTAATAAATACTGGTGTAAGAAATATAATAATAATTATTATAAATAATATTAAAAAATATTGTACGAGATATTATTTTATTCGATGCCCTTAATTTAAATGTTAGCTGCAATCCTTAAATTGTGATATATAAAGCAGATTATATATTTTGTCTTATTAAAATAAATAGAATTGTCTTTATTATACAGGGTGACTGGTGAATTACTATCGATATTTAAGGAGAATACTCAGTACATGATTCTCATTTGAATTATGTAAAAAAAATAGGCACTTTTTTTTTGACAAAATTTCCGTATAAATAAATAAAGTGTTGACACGTTCCAAGTGTTCCAAGTGTGGACGCGTGCGGCGGCGTGCTGATACAACAACACGCCGCGAATTCGTATGTGTGTGTGTGTGTATACCTAATCTGTAGGGTGTTCACAGGATGCGTAATTAATTACATAACTTTTGGTTAACTTTACTTAGAAGTTTATTAATATTTACGTTATATTAATTTTTATGTTGTCATATATGATCGTCAAATATCACGTCCTCAAGTATCGATAGTAATTCACCAGTCACCCTGTATAATAGTTTGTTATATGTACTTGTTTTTGAAACATTTTTCATACATTTATAATATTTGCGTTTGTATTTTTAAATGGTTTTAAAAGCTAAATAACATAGTTTTATATAATAAATATTATTTTTATTACATAATTGTTATAGAATACGCGATAGCTAACGTACAGTGTCAGTACGAGGACGAGACGACGACGACACGAGCACCTCACGACCACAACTACGACTCGAGAGACGAGCCGCCCGCCTTCATCATACACCAGATACCGGCGGTAGGTTACACGCGCACAGACACACACACACACACACAGAAAGGTATATACATACATATATTATAGTAAGTGGTGGCCCAGTGGTTAAAAGACCCGCCTCTCATGTATGTAGATTCGGGTTCGATCCTGGCAAGTATCAGTGTGATTTGTACTTATACATATGTACTAATATACATATGTATATGTAAAATTGTTGATATTTATCAAGATTTATCTTAATATTGGTGCAAATATCAAACTCTGTGCATCTCATATGATTCCTGGGTAATATTTAAATCTGTGTTCTTCATTTTCTGTGCAGTCATCTACCCAGGGTCCGTTCGTGGAGGTCCGTCCCAGTCTTGTGACCCTTGCCCCAGATTGTTTGCCCGCTGTCAACGTAATACACATAGGAGAAAGGACACAGGTCAGGGTCAATTATTATTGGTAAAATATGTTTACTAATTCACAGGTAAGTATTGTAAGGCACAGGTAATTTGTAATGAGTCGTTCTGAAATGAAAGTAGTGTCAGTGTTAATGTTGATTGTTGAGCATATCTAGTTTATAGTTTTAGAACGAACATAAATTAAAGGTAAATTACATTTCAATAGTTTTTAATTGTTACCTTCATAATTATATGCATACTTATATTACATAATAGAAATTTTCATATATATATAGAAATTCCGAATATTAAGTAAGATGATATTTTAAACATATACATACTTTTCTTTCTATACGTAATTGGTAATTCAAATGAAAAAAATATTTTCGGATACTACGCCTTTTCTATTTATTTAACTACATACTCCAAACGTTTCAAAATTCAATTATTTGAAGAAACATAATCATTGGCAAACAAGATGAAACTTTCACAGTTATAAGTCAGTAAAAAACGAGTAGTACCCCAAAAAATTTAGCTTCATTTATACAGGGTGACTGGTGAATTACTATCAATATTTAAGGAGCATACTCGGTACATGATTCTCATTCGAATTATGTAAAAAAAAATAGGTATTTAATTTTTGACCAAATTTCCGTATAAATAAATAAAGTGTTGACACGTTCCAAGTGTTCCAAGTGTGGACGCGTGCGGCGTCGTGCTGATACAACACCACGCCGCCGCAAACGTGTGTGTGTGTGTGTGTATACCTAATCTGTAGGGTGTTCGCACGATGCGTAATTAATGACATAACTTTTGGTTAACTTTACTTAGAAGTTTATTAATATTTATGTAATATTAATTTTTATTTTGTCATATATGATCGTCAAATATCACGTCCTCAAATATCGATAGTAATTCACCAGTCACCCTGTATAAGTTCTCGTGAAAATATTGCACATCTCGTGTAAACGAAACGTCGGGAGTATGTAGCTAAATAAAATAACACATAGTTATCCGAAAATATTAGTCTCATCTAAATTAATGCTCGTAATATTATAGATATCATTATATTAGTAATATAATGAGTATATTGTCATATTGTTTCATTTTCAGCCAATAGCCAGTCAGCCTCTAGGCGCGGAGTGTATGAGTAAGAGGGTCCGCCGTAGTGAGGTGGTGCTGCGTCAGGCGGCCGACTGTGTGTCACGAGGGTCTACCTTCCAGACGGTCTCTGAACAGTTTAATATACCTATATCGACGATACGGTGAGTGACACACACACACACACACACACACGCACACACACACACGCACACACACGCACGCACGCTCGCACGCACACACACAACTACTAAATATATATCATAATTCATAAAACTAAAATCGTTTCGTTTTTAACTTTGACCCTATAAATCGAAAAATATACTTGAAAATCGCATCAATCTAAGTCGAAATTTAAGCAATTAAATCCTTTGTATCTCGAAATACTTTTTAAGTCGAAAACTCATTAAACTTTTTAGCATTTCCCTTGACATTCGAGTTATCGAGATTCCACTGATATTCGGAATCCCTACTAATATTATAAATGCGAAAGTAACTCTGTCTGTCTGTCTGTTACGCTAGCACGTCTAAACCACTGAACTGATTTTAATGAAATTTGCTACAGACATAGAGTTGACCTTGAGAAAGAACATAGGATAGTTTTTATTTCAGTTTTTTTGAAAGGTTCTCTTGGAAACGCGATATAACCGAACTCCACGCGAGCGAAGCTGCGGGCGGAAAGCTAGTGATGAATATAAAATTTTGTTTTTGTATACTAAGATTATTTATATAAGTGATGATATGGTACTGAATAAAAAAATAAGTGATTTATTTTACTTTTTATACATATAAATGTAAACAGAATTTATATTTTAATGTTTAACTAGCTTAGCTCTTAGACATCATATGAAATATATTAAAATGTAATGTCCATATATCTGAACCTCGCCTTATAAATGTAAACAATTGAAAATCCTGTTTTTGTATTGACGTTTGTTAAATATAGTGATTACGTCATTACAGTAGCTGTCACCATTTATTTATTACTAGCTGCGACCCGCGGTGTTACCGGTGGATTTCCGAGATGTAAAGTAGCCTATGTTTCATTCCTGGATGTCAGCTTCCTGTATGCAAAATTTTAACAAAATCGGTTCAGCCGTTTGAGCGTGAAGAAGTAACAAACATACACACACACTCACAAACTTTCGCAATTATAATTTTAGTTTGATTTTATTCAATACATAAACATCCGAATAATTAATTCAGTATAGTATGTAAGTGATGTTTATATTTATTATCTTGTTTCGTTGGACAGCTTCTTCATGGCTCGCAAGGGGATCCTGCCTCGGCGGCGGAGAGGGCGGAGTACGCAAGTTGGTAATCCATTGTATAGAGAACATAATAACCATAAAACATTAAATTAATATCTATTATTATATATATACAACATTATTTTTCGTATAGTGCAAAGCTTAGACACTCCAAAAATAACTCCACTAAAAATATAGTATAAAAAAATATTATTATATTAAAAATTACAAGCATTTAAAACTGTCCCGATTTTTCATCGAAAATATGCTCATAGCCACTATGCACTATACAAAAATGTTAAATTAATTACTATCTATTTGCTAATGAAATATGAACTTTATTACAATACATCAAGATTTGTATTTCTAAATAATATTTTTATCTCCAAGGTCACTAGGACAGGTCGTTGTAGTAGCCCTGAAGAGCCACCCTTCGCGATGCAACACTTCAAGCTACCGGAAATGTTAGCACTCAATGACACGTTAAAAGCTGATGAGGATGCTACCTAGACTGAGTCTAGACTGACAGAAAATATCTAGACTGAGTCTAGACTGACAGAAAACTTCTAAACTGAGTCTAGACTCAAGCTATATAGTTGACGCTGAATGTTTTTTGGTCTGTGAAAAATTTCGCAAGGACTTATCGTTAATACGTGCACAGATCTTTCTAGAACTTTGTAATGTCTGAGATATATATGTATGTATTTATTAAAATTACTATAGAAACAAAAATACAATTAAAATAAGGTGAATCTTAGAATTAGCTTTAATGGAAATATTGTCTTAGTGACATTTGTGTATGACATTAGATGAACGTAGTGATGAAAATGGCGGTAAAATAAAAAACACAAATGTATTGATTAAGCTACTTAAATATGGCGTAGATATTATTATTTATTTTTATAAGAACATAATATTTTTGTGTAAACAGGAACAAATATTATATTGAAAGGATTTTTCTTTTGTATATATTACAGAATCTCAAGTTATTCGACATCGCTTTACCTTTGAAGTAGAGTAGTGAATCATAGACAATATTCTATAGAACTATATTTTAGTCATAGATAACTCATATATTTTAGTATTGGATGCATTTCTAGTGTAGCGAAAAAAACTCTGCAGCTTTTTGGTTGTTTTTTTTATTATTATTAATATAATTTTTTAAACGCCGACAGTATTAATCTCAGCATTAGTTTTTGAAGTATTTTATTGTTTTAGAATAAAACCTTTTTCGTATCGATGTTTTGTAATTAATTGATTTTTCTGGTTGTTTTTTTTTTCTGTTATTTATTGAAGTTGAATTGATTATTTTAAGTTACAAGGTGATTGGAAAAATATTTTGAAAATCAAACAGATTTTTTATAATTTTCTTTTGACTTTATAAACATTTCTTTGAAGTTAGATCTGATATGTAGAAATTATGAAGGTCATATTTATTTGTATAATTGTATCAAGAACAAAAATATTCCATGAGAATAATGTAAGGCTCTATTCGATATAATTTTAATAAAACAATGACTACTGATTTTTAGCGTAAAAGATATTGGACATACATTTATGTTTTGCATTTATATTTAATTTACATATATATGTTGTATCATCCGTATAGAGCCTAAATTATAACACCTAAGATTGACAATACCTTCGACTCTTGTGATCGGAGCTATGTGTCGTGGAAAAACATATTTGCATTACATTTGTGTGTAGTTAGACATAAAGTATTTTTGTCTATATAATCTTTCATTTATCATTCCTTAGAATATTACAAAATATTATTAATGTATCAAAAAATGGAGAAAAGTTTTATAAACAAGATTAAGCGCGAAGGATAACTTATTTTTAGAAGATCTCTACCTTTTGGTATAGGAAACTAGATAAAATGTGGTTTAGGTACAATAAAAAGACAAGATAAATTAAATTCATAATATGTAGAATATCTATCAAATATATCGTCAATCCATGGATCTACATATAATCATTCGAATAAATAAACCACAGCCAGCACTTTACTTACCAGGAGAGCATAGGTGCGCAGAATATATTTAGATCTTATAGATATGATGCTCATGTACATACGAGTCGCTAGATCCGTTGTTTTTGTTACTAATAAGCATCAAAAGTAAATATTTTCTATTGCACTCAGTGTACATGCACTAAATAAACGAACTACGACAAAAACCTCGTCAATATACGTGCGGTTAACTATACCTGTCAGTTCTTTTTTAATCTTCTATATATATAAAAATGGATTGCTGTTCCTTAGTCTCGCTAAAACTCGAGAACGGCTGAACGGATTTATTTTATCTTAGTCTTGAAATGTTCGTGGAGGTTCAGGGAAGGTATAAAAAATGAAAAAAATTGATTCATTACTGGGAAAACCATAAAAACAGCCCTTTTCTATTTCCCATACTAACGTTTTTTTTGACATTAGATTTGACAACTAACTAATATGTCAATCATTCTGTTTGATTGAAACAGGAGAAACCTGATTATTAATGGCTTCTAAAACGGAATAGAGTTCGCCCGGTCACCTATACATATATTACTAATGATGAAATTAACGCGGACGAAGTCGCGGGCAAAAACTAGTTATGAATATTTTTGGCATTCATTTATCGTTTTTGTTTTCAAAGCTAGTGGCATCAAACGGGGTGAATTGGGAAAATGTCTTTTTAATTATCTAATAGGTAGTTACAATAATTCTAATAGTATACAAAGCGTAGCCTAGCTGTTAAATGACAAGAATTATTATTATATAATACTAAGTTTATAAATTATTAACGTATTTTATTGATAGTTGCCTTTTAAAAATAAATTGCCAAAACAACTTTCTGAATCTGAGCGTTAGAGCTAATCTTCTTCCTGGCAATTTCCCAGCTTTAGCCAGGGTCTGCCTAGAGCGTTAGAGCTAATCTCTGGTGAAAAAAAAATCAGTATCTTGCTTATGATAAAATAGAGTTTTAAGAAGTATGAAGTTATTGTTTTATCATGACTCGTAATTAATAAATATATCGGGGATTTTTGTTCGGAGTATGGTTTTAGGGTGTGGTGGGTGGTGGGTGGTTTTACAGTGTGGGTTCAATAAAGGCAGGATACTTTATGACTGAAAAATAGTATGTTGAAAAATAAAGGGCCTAGTTGGCACTTCATTTAAGACTTATTTTGGATTTAATTACCAATATTTTAATTTATCATCACTTGCGTTATAAAAAAATTAATAAGTAGAATAAACTGATTTAATTTTGATAAAATTCTAGCTTTATATCAAAGTACACTTTGTACCTACTTAGAGTACAAATACATATGTCTTTACCCTACTTCCTATATATAATATCTTCCTATTTCGATATATTTTTTTATAAAATTATTTCCTTAACCTGAAAAGCGACTTCTGATGGATAATATTAGTATATTATAACCTGTTAATATTTTATTGGAATAAAACAAATCGATAACATTATGGAATTGGAATTGTTTATTAAAATATTATTTACAAGTTTTAAACTTCGACGACTACCTACTTATGGCGATTCATTACTTTGTATTTTGCACCCTATTAATATTGCGCAGAGTACAAAATCGTTGGAAGCGAGATGTAACAGTCCCCTAGATAAAAAATAAAAGCTTTATCACACCCCGATCATAGATTTTATACATAGGCATAACATTAAAACACCCATTCCTTCAAATCTTCCTTTCAAAAGTAATTCTTGTACTGTCAAACTTAAAACAATATTTACAAAACCTACACTAAGATGGAATCTAGGATAAAATTTGGAATAAATAAAATTATATACGCAATATACAAATATGTAACAGATGGCGTTAAAATATTTACAACTAAACACATTCGAACGATACAATACAAATATTTACAGGAAAATTATCACAAAGACATCTCGAACGATTGGAATGAAATTTTGAACAGTAAATGCTCGAAGAACTGGAATATTAAATAAAATAATGGACCAGGCGCGATGTGGATATGTGGCTTATTAATTTATTATCAATTAATTAGCTCTGGCTGTGAATTGACATTTTCTATCAGACTGTAAGGCTTGTTATCAGTTGCTGACACAACTTGCCATACTCTCGATGGTCTCCAGATATTCTTCTCATTTTAAGTCCTTTTTTTTCTTTACTCTTATTCTCACACACGACTAGTTCTATCTGAATGCCGCCAGAGTATTCTAGATTGAGGAAGCCTGTTAAATCTTCCGTATCATCATGTTTTCTATGGTCCGTTTCTATGAATATATTCTGTGGCGGAACTCTGTTATTTATGGTTTCTTTCAAGAGTTCTACTATCCTATGCGAGTCTAGTTGTGAGCAGACCGTAGATAGTGTAACTTCGTAGTATTCTTGTACACAAGACACTTTCTGCGGGCTAAGTAGTATCGGTATTCCGTCTCCCGGCCTACATATTTCCGACAGCCGTAAGTCCATAGTAGATCGTTGTAATTTTTCTATCTCATGACTTTCTTCGTCGTGTTTGACGAGAGTTTTTTCCGGCATGTGCACGTCTTCGTTATATTCCTTAACTTCTCCCAAAACTCCTTGAGCTGAGAACGAAGAGCGCGGAGTTTCGCCTTTTTCTGAAAAGCTTCCTCTACCGAAATCGCTTCTTTCCGAAAACGAGGATCTGCCATAATCCCCTCTCTCAGAAAAGCTCCCGCGGTCGGAAAAAGAGAAGGATTCCCTGTGCTCGGAAAAACTTCCTCTATTCTCGCTGAAACCTGAACTAATTGACACTATATTGGAGTAAATTGACTGTATGTTTTGTTCGCAGTTGGGTGATGCGTTTGCGGAGTCATTGCTGAGTGAATCGTCGCTGAAACCTAAAGACTTATCACTGCCTCTTCTCGCCTCTCTTGTCAAGAATTTACTAGTTTCATCCACACTTTCTTTAGGTGACTGCATTTCTGTATCGACTTCCTCCTTATTTTCGGCTGCTTCCGTTTCCTGGCTGACTTTTCGTCCAATTCCTTTGGTGATGGAAGGTCTATCATCCAAATCCGATGGTTCAGATATCACGAACTGCGGCAGCGGGTATTTATTCTCTAAACTATCGACGCTGTCTTCAGATGAAGATGCGACCAAAGTTATCTCCGAGCCGAGACAATCTGTTAAACTGATCTGCGGGTGTGTCGACACGTAGCTCTGGAAACTTCTGTCCGGGAATTTGGTTTCGCCGTTTTGACTTCCGTTTCCTATTTCCTCCTGGATCATGTCCAATGGGGAGCCGGGGTTTGATATGGGGGAATTATTGAGCGATCGGTGCGCCACCACGTGGATTTGGGGATGAACCATCGGGTGGAGTTGAGGATAGTTGGTTTCCATGTCTATATGAGGGGTGGTGGCTGTGCTTCGAAGGTCTAAAGGCGTAGCGTTAGCTTGGGGGGTTCCCCGCGTGATGGAGCCCGTGTGTAAGTAGCTTAGACCCTCGGTTATCTGATGCAGGGGACTCCCCGGACTAGCGGGGCTAGCATGCCCGGAAACTAAACCGTAACTGCTGTACGAATGAAGAGATTTTAAAACTTCTTGTTGTAAGTGAGGAGAGTACAGGTTGTTGAGATTCATGCCCAGCTTCAACGATAGGTCCTGGAAACATGTAAAGAAATTTTGATTAAGAGTTTTTTTAATATAATATTGACCTAACATTTAAATTGGAAGAATTAATAAAAATTCTTTATTATAATAACTGAATAAATTGAAAGTAATATATTTTAAAATATCATTCAACGTTCTAGAAGAAGTGACATTTGTTACGTCAGCGAGGCTGGCGTCTCTCTCTTTTAAAACAACGATATATATATATAATAAATCCGATATATATATAATTTAAGTAGTCGTTAGTGTTTTAATTTATATACCTGAGGCGGATCACTCAGGCCCATGTCAAGCGTAGGAACAGAGGCGCCGGAATGGATGGGTGACCCTGGAATATATAATAACAGTAAGAAGAGTACGACTTAGAACTTAAAGAAATTATTATAAAAAAACTTTATAGTAATATGTTTTGTATACAAAGGATATTAACCAGGCATCGAGGCAGACAGAGTGTGCGGCGGGTGCGAAGACTCTGAAGGGGGCGAAGCCCCACCGCAGGCCGCGCGACGCTCGAGACCACGCTGGAAACAAGCATACAATATGATAGTATATTACGTACGCGTTACATATGAAGAAAATAAATGAATGTATAATATTTGTATGTATAAAATATATAACGAGTGACGCCGCTGACTCCGCGGAACGAACACCAAGCGTGTGAACCAGAAGATTCCTGATACACACAAGCTATGGAATGGTATTGCTATCATAACATTGGGTCAATCATGTAGTCTTAGGTGTAGGTTATAAGTTTTAACATGTAATTCTTATTTTAATATACATATAAGTATGTTTCGTAGTTCCTGGAACCTACGGTTGTCATCTTACGTAATTAGTAAAATACACTCAAGTAAACAAACACAATATGTCACTATAGTATTTAAGTAAAACTGTCATATATCGCTCGATAAAGTTTGTATGCGTGTGTGTGTGTGTTTGTTACCTGTAGCTGTTGGTACTCCAGCCTAGCCGATGCCAGCGGATGCGCCGCCCTCGGTGGACTCAACTCCGCACGTCGTACAGGCGAATAACGCTCCGCGTGCTCACGAGCTATATACATACAATATATATAATAATAGGGACATTAAACACGTTTTCATTTAAGCTTCTAAAATTAGTATTAGGCCGAAGTGATAATTACTTATATCTTCTTCTACCTGGCAATTTCCCGACTATAGCCAGGGTTTGCCTTAAATGTTGTGAATAGTTTTGGCTAATTGTTTTTACGACCGGCCGCCTGCCTGACATCAACCCTCTTTTGGGAAATAATAGATGAGATATTTACTTATATATTGAATATAAAATGATTTCCTTCGACCTAACACCAATAGTTACGCAAAAAATTCAAAAAAATTGTTTTATTATAATAATGTGTAGTAAAAAATCTACAACAAGCGAACACACCGTGCAAACACAAAAAGCTTTAAAAAACTCTACAAACTGACCTTAACCTTTTCACCCAATAACCCTTAAACAATCATAATTACCCATTTCCTGTACAGTCGCCAACATTTGCAGTTTCACCCTTTGTGGGCCAGAGTACTTCCTTTGTCGGCTGTATTGACCTTGACCCAAAGTTAGGGGAGTCCCCGCGGTTATTGACCCCGAGGGTACGTTACCACAGGAACCGAAACTGTATGGAAAGTTCGTGAAGCTTTTGTCCATAGAAGTACCAGGATTCAGAGATAGGTAGTTCTGACTGGAGGTAGTCGGGAAATTCTGGTTATTAATCGGCGTGCCAGACATTATTGACCCCTGATTCTGTATCGGAGTACCGCTGATGATGGACCCCTGGCTTTGAATGTAGCTCTGGCTCTGTATCGGCGTGCCAGACATTATCGACCCCTGGTTGGGCAACGAATTGAAATTCTGACTAATTGGCGTCCCTGTTAATATTGATCCTTGGTTTGGCATTGAGCTGAATGTATTTGGTTGAATGCTATTAAAGTTCTGATTCACCATCGGACTTCCGGTGACGATAGATCCGGTCTGTGAGACCACACTGCCGTGAGTCGGCGAGAATTGCGACAACGAAGGTGTGAACGGCGTAACAATCTGATTGGTCCCCATTATACTGCCTTGAGGAATGGTCTCTAAGACCGGTTTCATAGATTTCGTGTAATTCGGGGTTCCCGCGGTTATAGAGCCTTGGGCGGGCGGGGTGCAGGGCGGCGGACTCTGGAACCCGCCCTGGATCGAGGGCGGGAGGTAGTTGCGATTCATCCTCGCCTCAACCTCCATAACTAACTCAGGACTAATAACTAAAAATGTTACAAACATTAGCGTCATGCACTACTCTAAGACATGAATGATAGAAAAATATTACATTTCCTCTATTTACACTTTTATTTTGCATAGGAGATATTTTTTAACTATATTGATCTGCATTTAAGTACAATTAATACAGAAATTATAATTCAGTTATATATATTTTTAATATTTTTCTACCATTCTGATGCAAATTAATAGTTGCAACACTAAGCAACTAAAAAAAATTATAAAAAAATATGCAAATATTATAATTTTGTAGAAAACGTTCAAAAATAAGAATGTGAGTTATCAAATATTACAAAAGTTAAATCAAATATCATTCAGCATAATAACTTTAATGATGCAAAAAAAACAAAATCAAACAAAAAATCAGGCTTACAAGTGTCTTCACACAAAAACTATAAAAAACTTTTCTATATAAATAGTTACAACATTGAAAATTACAATAACTATATATATACTTATATATATTTATACTTACCAGGAGGTCTTTCTGTTACTGTTAGGAGGCCTGAACGACGTACTCTAGGGGCGCTCGCCTGAAAAATATACATATATGTATAAAATATATATTTATATATGTCTGTCTTTCAGTAAAAAAACATGAATATATTATGATAATACTTTGGCAGTAGTAAAAAATTTTTCTTCATTATATATTTTTTTCAAGATTATATTTCAGGACAAATCATTAAAAAATATTTACCGAGAGAAATTTCAGATAAAAGGAGAGAAAATATCAAAATTATAATTTTAATTATCTATTATAGCTGTCCAATGAAACAAGATAACATTTGTAAACATATTCTTATATACTTCATAAGTCACCTATATTTAATCTACCTAACATTGTTATGTATTTTATCTGTATGTATATTTAGTATGTATATTTTAGTTACTCACGGCGGGAGTGGGAGGGCAAGCAGCGGAAACGGAAGCCGCTTCTTCCGGGGTCGCCATTGTGTGACGTTTGCTACTACCACGATTTAACATATACCTGCAAACATACATACATACATACATACATAGTTAGCCTAACGCACTAAATCTTTTAATTTTACTTTCACACACGACTTCTGCAACTACTTTGCACCTCAAAATGAATTAGTAAAGATAAAATATTTAATTCACTTCAAAACATATCAGAATGTACTATCAATATTAATAAATTAGATTAAAATAATGAGATTTAATATTTAAATTTTTTTTTTTATTTCACTGTATACAAATAAAATATTTTAAGTTCAATATCTTTTAATAGTTCATTTAATATTCATTTCCAAACATTATTTATATTTTTCAAACAATTAAATGAATTTTTAAGGCACCTCATATATGCTTTAAAAGTTTTCCATTGTATCTATAGAAAGCACATAATAACATTATAATATTTAGATGTCACCATATATATACTATTCAATAATGTTCTATATATTTCACTGTAGAGTAAGAGTAAGAAAAATCATGTAACCATTTTTGAAGTGAAACTTCTTTGCAACTTTCAACAAGGTTGCGTTAAACATTCAACGCTTGTGGAGATTCCCCCTCCATTCCCTTTCTATTCCCCAGAAAGAGACGGAACGAGGGTATATATGGGCCGAATGTGTATTGTAAATAATGTTTATAAAGATTGTCTTAAAATAATATGAGTTTACTTAAACATTGATTTCTACCCTTCTATTTCATTTCCACATACATTGCAAATATTATTTTTTTAACAACAAACTTCTAATGTCATATTAATATATATATATAATATTAATGAATATTCTTGTATCTGTCTGTACCTGCACAGATTATTATTATATGTAGAGTCGCTTGTCTGTTCATCTGTTTGTTCCGTTGACTCAGTGTTCCCAGTACCACTGTCTGAAACCTGAAATATTATATAAAATATAGTCATAATTATATATATATTATTCAATAAACATATACTTTAATGATATTTACTGCTATATATAATTTGTATTATTTATTAACAATTACATTAATCGGATTAACATTATTTCTGTAATAGATAGACATAAGTATAGACAATATTAGTCTTGAGATTGAACTAATAGGTTTAGTGCTGCCTTCTAGTTAAAGTTTACCAAAAATAACATTTATTATATAAAGAATCATGTTAAAAATTCATAAATTTAGATAACTATGAAGATTTTTCACATATTTCTTAGATATTTCAAATTCTCATCACCATTCAAACATAATGTATTATAAAGTAATCAAAAAATTTATATCATATATATTGTATACAATTATAATAATATTTTTATAATTTCATACACGACGGCTTCCTCTAAAAATACATATTTTTTTGTTAGTATAGTATTATTATTGTAATATATTACAATATGTTTATTTGTCATTTTGATCGTAATTTAAGTGAATAATAATTATTAATGTATATATTACATGTCTTGGGGGTGGGGGATGCGCCCCCGCGTTGTCCGGGGCGCGCCGCACGTGAGCCCCGCCGTCCGAAGCCCTACGACCGAACAGCGACGCTGGAACATTATATATATACATTAAATTATCCTACTAATATTATAATTGCGAAAGTTTGTATGTGTGTATGTTTGTTACTTCTTCACACTCAGACGTTTAAATCGATTTTGATGAAATTTTGTATACAGCAAGCTGAAGTTTAGGAATAACACATAGGTTACTTTATAACCCGGAAATCCGCGTAACACTGCGGGGCGCAGCTAGTTTGTTATAATGATTAGATGGAGCCATATATAAAGTAAGTCACATATTAATGGGAGGGAGTAATTTTGAGACATCACATATTATAATTTAAAATACTAAAACGTTAAATTTGGATGTTTAATAAAAATAAGTAAAACATGAAAATAGCTGTTTTATCTCGGTTATTATTAAATGCATGCAGGAATTAAAAAAATTGACGTCATATTAGGTTATAGAAATATGACAACCCGTGATATGAACGGAAGGGGTTCCATCCTAAAATTCGTGTGATTTACTTTATTAAGTGTATTTAACGTAAAATATCATTTAAATGTTTGACAAACATTGAAGACAAGAAACAACATATAATAAGACTATAATATAAGTAGGTACAAAAGAAAAAAAAAATAATAAAATAAAATAAAGAAACTTAAACAAAACCAAAATACAAAAAATAATAATAATAAAGAACATACTTAGAACCAAAGACTTAATTAAAATATATATACTCGTATATAATAACAAAAATAAAATAAAAGTGCTGCAGCTTATGTCCCAAAAACGTATGCCACTCAGCATAACCTAGGAAATTCCTAGAAACTGATTTTCAATGGCAGCCTTATTTAGATGCGAATTTTATTAGGTAATATATATATGTACCCTGTGTTTGCATGGCGACTGGAGGTTTCAAGAGATGATGATCTTTGACGCTGAAGTACCGAGGAGGCTGATGCTGAACAGCGGGCAGCTTGGCTGCCAGGTTTGTGTTCGGTAGTAACGCTACTTCTGGTAACCGACTCGGCAGCGGAGTCTGAAGGGGCTGTTGCTATAAAATTGATAATAATATTAGGGTATGATATAAAAAAATATGAAAAATGGATTGGAAATTTAAAAAAATGTACAAAAAAAATTTTCCCGATAAGAAATATTAAGAATGGATTGAAATTTAAAAAAAATGTACTAAAAATGTTTCCCGTACCGGGAATCGAACCCGAGCCTCCTGGGTGAAAGCCAGGTATCCTAGCCACTAGACCATACGGGAGATATGAGTTACGTTAAAATTAAGGTTCAAATTAATCGTATTTATGAAATCGTATTTTTTTAATATATTTTTCTCCAATTTCATACTAAAACTCATTTCATAGGACTTCAAAAAGTAATATATATGTATAAACAGTGAAAGACTCACATTAAAATGAGCGGACGCGCACAAAGGTGCAGGCCTTGAAGACAACTCACTCGACTGAAAATATATTAAATAATATATAAAAATTAATAATGATTAATATGCAATAAAATGTATATCTAAATATTTTTTGTATTGTTTATAGAAACAGTACAAAAAATACTTTCCCGTACCGGGAATCGAACCCGAGCCTCCTGGGTGAAAGCCAGGTATCCTAGCCACTAGACCATACGGGAGTTGATAAATGAAGTGAAATAGTGGTTTTATAGGCTTTAAAAGCAATAATTAAAATTAAAAATAAATAAATTGTAAAAAGATATTTAGAAGATAAGTTATTATCATAACTAGAACATAAAAATAAACCAAGCGATTTATGAAAATTAATGTATTTTTTTGAGAAAACATTAAAAATAAAACGAATAGAGTTTAGAGGAAGTTTGAGTTTTAACTTAGGAAATTTAAAATAGAACATTTAACACGACAATTTAAACTATAACAGCTCATTAAAACTTAATTTTAAAAGTATCTTTCTAATCATATATCATAGGCATATATCCTACTAATATTATAATTGCGAAAGTTTGTGAGTGTATGTTTGAGTGTATGTTTGTTACTTCTTCACGCTCAAACGGCTGAACCGATTTTGATAAAAATTTGTATACAGGAAGCTGACGTCCAGAAATAACACATAAGCTATTTTACATCCCGGAAATACGGTAACACCGCGGGACGCAGCTAGTTTAATATAAAATGTTATATATATATGTTATATTATAATACCTGTTCGTGCCTACAATCTCCGGGGCCCACCGTGTGTCTCCTGGCCGTTGGCGGAGCGCCTGGCTGACGTACGGGCTCCACGCCTGACTCCAACACAACAGACGAACCGAACTGGAATATATACATTCATATATGTATATGATAAAAATACATATACTTTAATACTTAATAACAATGTTTTAGCTGAATATTTACACTATTTTTAGGCATATACTCTTAATTTGGTGATAATCTTGCGTTAAGTGAGATAAATTTCTTACGAGACATCTACTCTGCCTGTGATACCGGTTGCTGACTAGTAACAGAAACGTCGAAAGTATTTAGTTTTTAAAATAATAAGCGTAGTATAATCTGAAAATTATTAGTTTCATATAAAAAACCTTTTCGAAGCTGTCTCCGGAGTGGCCGGCAGTGAGGTATCCTGGTTGTAGGGCTTCGGTACTGTCTTCTGCCTCCATCTGTTCTTCTTCACTCTGTAAAATAAATGATACATATTTTAAACATTAAATCGATTAGTGTAGGATGAAAATTAAAATATGTTTAAGAATATCATTCTTAAAATTATTTTTACAATACATACTATATAAAAAGAATATAGTAGTCGGCTAAATTGATAACAATACTTGTCGATATATTTACTAAATCGTTGCGATGAAAAATTCTTTTAAATCATTATAAACCCAACAGATGGCGCTGTGAATAAAAATTACATTAAATTATAATAATACTTTACCTTACAACTAGTGAGATCTAGGGGTTTGCCCGTTGTCGAGTCTAATGAATCTGTAAATAAGAATATAATAAGAATAAGTCATACTAATTTTAGAAATAAAATCACATACAAAAGTGATATTGACTTTAGATCTGTCACTACCCGCTAGATGGCGCTATACTTAAAAAACTTTAGAAGAAAATTAAAACTATTATATTATTATTATATATACTTTATATACCTCTATCCATTTCAGCGTCTGTGTCCCTTTGTTCTAGCTTGTCCATAAGTAAATGATAAATAGCTGATATGTGATCAAATCTTTCTTCTTGTACCGACTGAAAATAAAACATGTTTATTATAATTATAAGGTTTAATATATTTTTTGTTTTATTGCGCTGTTATGTATGTTAATAAAAATCTTCTTAATAGACAGAGTATAAGGTATTATGATAAAAACACTTAATTTAAATATTACTAAATTAAAGGCTACTTCTCAAGTAATCTTGTGATTGATTAACTATACTATATAACTACATCATACATAGAAAAATATATATTCTTCTACCTGGCAATTTCCCAGCTATAGCCAGGGTCTGCCTTACATGTTGTGAATAGTTTTAGCTAATTGTTTTTACGACTGGCCGCGTGCCTGACATCAACCCTCTTTGGGAATGCTTTAATCTGATGTCTAAATATTCTTATAAAGTACATATGACTCGGAAAAATATATAAAATTGTATATACATATTTCTATGTATGATATATATGTTCTATCAACTTTTACCTAGGATATTAATCTTCCTAGTTATATAGCGACATCTGGAGGGTAAAAAGTAAGTTACCTGTTGCACGTGATGTAAGGTAAGTCCGGGTAAAGTCGCGAGGCGCGCCAGGGCTGCGTCGTGAGCTCGAGCATCTTCCCGGGTAACGGAAGGGTGACAGGCACATTGACCTTCGGAGGCATCTGGAAATTACCAATTATTATAAAAAATTCTGATATAAATGTCTAAGATAGTATTTGAGTCGTATAGAATCAAAATCGGAAATCTGCACTTAGACTGAAATCAGAGAATTGAAAATTTTCGATTTGTGCCGTCCGATTCAAAAATAATATTACGTAACTTTATTTTAAGTTATGTAAGTATTGATGCGCTTAATATTAAACTCTCATTGTGTACTATAAAAATAACAATTTGATGAAATTTAGAAAAGAATGCCGGATTTGAAACCAAAAATCTGAGAATGCCGTATTTGATACCAAATTATGTCGAGATTGCCGTTTATGAAACTTACCAAAAAATTAACTCGTTCAGGGTTGTCAAGAAGGATATAAAAAATATTATAAATTTGTTTTAAGGATTTTATTTGTATAAATCAAGTGGTGGTAATGAAACTACACGGCATGCACAACAACACAGCACAAGTAGCACATTTAATTGAGCTGATAAATAGGTCACGAGAGCATTATCCATCAAAAAATATATTAAAGGATATTATAAAAAATATATATTATGCATGGTAGAGTATATTATAGAAGTTGTTTGAAAAGTTTTTTGCTATTTGGCATTTCTGTGAGCTACAATACTTCTAGCGTGTTTCCAAGAGAAATGACACGAATTTCGATGTTTGATATTTTATCGTGACCAGAACGCGTTGTGAATTATTTTTTTTCTCACTTAGCGTTTAAGATCTTTGAGCTTAGCATATGTATGTACCTTCCACTTAGATATTAAGGTTATTTGTATATATAGAAATATTAAGAAATAGTAATAAATTAAATACTTTATATAATATATACATATTGTCGGGGAAAGTGCAAATCCTCGTATCTACATTGGAAGCAGATTATCAGAAGAAGGTTTAAGCTGAAGTATTTTCTAAATTAATGACTTTTAAGGTAATTTTTTCACAATTGTCAATTAGTAATAAATTAAACACTAAACCATTACTAATACATCAGTGTATGAGGAAATTTAAAGAAATAGTAATATAAATTAAATACTATTTATGTATGTACAAGCTTTCCGCCCGCAGCTTCGCCCGCGTGGAGTTCACTTATATAACTTCCAAGAGAACCTTTCAAAAGTCTGCGATAAATCCTATGTTCTTTCTCAAGGTCAATTCTATCTCTGTACCAAATTTCATTAGAATCAGTTCAGTGGTTTAGGCGTGAAAGCGTAACAGACAGACAGACAGAGTTACTTTCGCATTTATAATATTAGTATGTATGTATGTATGTATGTCAGTATGTGTGTTACCGTATACTCCGGGTCCAGGCCCCGGCTGGTGCGCCTGTAGCCATCTGTGTCGCGCTACGCCCCTCAGTGACAGCCGCCTCTCGGGCTCCACTACTAGCATGTGACGTATTAGATGCTCGCATTCTGTAATGTATAATACATATAGATTATTATCAATATATTCTACATATATATGATACTAGCTGCGCCCCGCGGTGCTACCCGCGGATTTCGGGGATGTAAAGTAGCCCATGAGTTATTCCTGGACGTCAGCTTCCTGTATACAAAATTTTAACAAAATCGTCTCAGCCGTTTGAGCGTGAAGAAGTAACAAACATATATACACACACACACACACACACACACACACACACACACACACACACACACACACACACACAAACTTTCGCAATTATAATATTAGTAGGATTGTTTAATAACTTTAGAGTTTTTTTTGGTTTCAGTTGATATATACATATTAATAATAATATATATAATAATCCTCTCAATAATTCTGGTCTGCTGAATATGAGAATAGTAAGACGTGGAGAATGTATGTAATTATATGTAATTTTTTTTGGATCTAAATTAAAAATATGACAAGGACTATGAATTAACTAAATTTGATCTATATTAGAACATGTTTGATATCTTATATATACAGGGTGACTGGTGACTTACTATCGATACTTGAGGACGTAATATTTGACGATCATATATGACAAAATAAAAATTAATATAACATAAATATTAATAAACTTCTAAGTAAAGTTAAACAAAAGTTATGTAATTAATTACGCATCGTGTGAACACCCTACAGATTAGGTATACACACACACACACGCGCGTGCGGCGGCGTGGTGTTGTATCAGCACGCCGCCGCACGCGTGCACACTTGGAACGTGTCAACACTTTATTTATTTATACGGAACTTTGGTCAAAAATTAAGTACCTATTTTTTTTTACACAATTCGAATGAGAATCATGTACCGAGTATGCTCCTTAAATATTGATAGTAATTCACCAGTCACCCTGTATAAGTCGCTTTATTCAGATTATCTACCGTCTCCCAAAAGACAGGACTCATTTAGATTGTGTATATTTGAAAAACACTCCAAATGTTACGAACCTGCGATTTCATTACGTCAGTATTAAAATATAGGGTTGTTAGTTTTGTAGTAATATTATAGTGGTAATTAAAGATTTTTAAACTTTAATTTTAAGCTAATTTTCATATAAATTACACTAGTTTACAAAATTTTACTTTTTATTTATACCCCGAACCGAATGTATGTCAATATGTTAATCTACCTTCCCTAAACCTAAAAGTGTTAGCAGAAATATTTTATCACGTCGGAATTTTTTTCTGCCGTCAATTGTTTTTTTTTTAACTAGCCGACGTGGTGGTGATATTTTATTGTTTATTTGTTCGCTTCATACGACAGTTACTTTGCTTTGGATTGATTTAAAATGGCTAGCAGAAAGTGCAAACAAAGTTCTGACCGTTTTTGTTATGTTTGTGGACAGTTTATATTTTTAAAAAAGGGAAGACCTATTGTAGATTCGTTAAAAACTGCATATCTTCATTATTTTGGATTTCCTGTTGCAAATCAAGATAAAAAGTGGGTGCCTCACGTGTTTTGCGAAAGCTGTAGAATCATCTTACTTCAGTGGTCATCAGGAGAAAAAGTTTACCTTCCATTTGGTTCGCCAATGCTATGGAGAGAACCTAGTGCTGTTGATTCCTTTGTTTGTGGGACAGTAGAGCGAAACAACATCATTATGTAAGGAAAGAATGGCCTGTTCGAAATGAGTATATTCCGGGCAAAATGAACATTAATCACGAGCTGTTGGTCGATCCAAATAACGTCACTTTACCCCCTTTACACAACAAACTGGGGCTCATGAAAAACTTTGTAAAGGCGCTTGACAAAAACAGTGATGCTTTCCGGTATTTGCAAAAAATATTTCCAAACATTACAGAGGGAAAACTGAAGGAGGGTATATTTATTGGTCTACAAATCCGTAAAATTATGAAAGATTCTCAGTTTGAAAACCTTTTATCGGTTAAAGAAAAGTCTGCTTGGAACTCATTTAAAATGCTTATAGAAAATTTTTTGGGAAATAAAAAAAAGTGAAAATTATGGAGAAATTGGTAACAATTTATTGAAAAACTTTCATGATATGGGAGTAAACATGTCATTAAAGATTCACTTTCTACACTCTCATCTGAATTTTTTTTCTGAAAACTTAGGAAGTATGAGTGACGAACCGGGTGAACGTTTCCGCCAAGATTTAAGGACTTTCGAAGAACGACATCAAGGATTTTCTGATGAAAATATGTTAGGGGATTACTGTTGGTCTATCATAAGAGAAACTGATTCAAATAACTATAAAAAGAAAGGAAAAATTAATCATTTTTAATTTATTTTTGTATTAATCCTAAAATTTTTGTATTTCCCTTCAAGAAAATAAATATTTTTTAAACCAGACGTGACAGAATTTTTTTATTATTTTTTTTGGATAGTTCTACCTGAACACAAAATAAAATAACAACTTTCAGCTGGGGTATGAAAACCGTGTAAACTAGTGTTATGTATTGACCGGCTAAATAAAATTTTTGGATTCTATATTAAATTAAAATGTTTATGTTTAAACAGGAAATTGTGTTATAATCAATATACAGGGTGACTGGTGAATTACTATCAATATTTAAGGAGCATACTCGGTACATGATTCTCATTCGAATTATGTAAAAAAAATAGGTTACTTAATTTTTGACCAAATTTCCGTATAAATAAATAAAGTGTGTACACGTTCCAAGTGTGGACGCGTGCGGCGGCGTGCTGATACAAAACCACGCCCCCGCCGCGCGTGTGTGTGTGTGTGTATACCTAATCTGTAGGGTGTTCATACGATGCGTAATTAATTACATAACTTTTGGTTAACTTTACTTAGAAGTTTATTAATATTTATGTTATATTAATTTTTATTTTGTCATATATGATCGTCAAATATCACGTCCTCAAATATCGATAGTAATTCACCAGTCACCCTGTAGTTGGAATTATCATAATTATTATTTTTATTAAGTGTGTATCAACCTTAATTATGATGACTCACGGTTTGTTTACTAAAATTCCAGATCGAATGTGGCTGGAGTATATATGTATATATTATTAGTGTAATATTTATTTTAATAATATTATTATATAACCTTGTGACATAAAGTAAGGTATCCTAAATTTTCCGCTGAGCACCACGGCGCGGAGTTCACTAAGAGTGCAGCCGTCGAACGGAAGAGCTCCACAGACCAATACGTAAAGAACTACACCCAGAGACTGGAAAAAAACATAATATTCATATTATATATCATCCTCTACCTGGCAATTACCCAGCTATAGCCAGGGTTTGCCTTACATAATACATGTTGCGAATAGTTTTGGCTAATTGTTTTTACGACCGGCCGTTGCCTGACATCAACCCTCTTTGGGAATAATAAATATTCTATATAAGTATGTACTATTGAGTTAATAGTTATTTTTACCCATATATCGGCTTTAGGTCCATCGTATTGCCGGCCTTCGAAGAGTTCAGGCGCCGCGTACGGCGGGGAGCCGCACCAAGTGGAGAGAGGTGAACCCGCTGTATATTCGTTACTGAAGCCGAAATCAGCCAACTGAAATGAAAATTACGTTAGTTGACTTAATGAGATCTAAGATTTTCGCGATTACTCATTTAAATGGAACTAATATTTTCTTATTTTACTTCGCGTATTTATTTTTGATTATAATTGTCATGTCATCAGTCTATCAGAGCCCACTGCCGAGCCTCTTCTCACATGGAGAAGATTTGAGCATTAATCACCACGCTTGCTCAAGACGGGTTGGTGATTTCAAACTTATAATTTGATATAAGTCCAGGTTTCCTCACGATGTTTTCCTTCACCGTAATTAAATCACGTTTATGGTGACTTAATGAGATCTAAGATTTTTAAGTACTCATTTAAATGGAATTAATATTTTCGGATTTTACTTCGCGTATTTATTTTTGACTATTAACTCATCATATCAACTACATATATAGGTGATAAAAATTACCAGACCAACTGACAGACACTCACATCTCGTCTTAATCATCACGGTTGCTGAAAAGTAACCGAAACGTAGAGAGTATGTAGTTAATAATCAAAAATAAATACGCGAAGTAAAATCCGATAATATTAGTTTCATTTTATGGTGACTTATTGTACATATAGTTGCCCATTTGACTAAAATAGAGGTACCTAAACTTATTTTGTTTAATATGCAGTTTGAGAATAAATTATTTTTAATGCTCACATTTTTCTACGGAAAAACCATTATAAATTATCCTAGCTAAATGAAATTACAAATCACACCCAAGCTTATACACAACACCCCTGTATTTTTCTGTATCTCTTATAGACCCTTAAAGAAGCATTTAGCGCCCTCTAGAGGGCGTTGTTGCCTTCGGAAAAGGCTTGCATAAAACATCATAATTGATTTCAATATTGTTCCTTAAAAATCCGACAAGAACCTAAATCCAGTTTCAAAGAATTTCAAAATCATATAATCTTTCTTTACATTTATTTTCTATGATATATATATATATATATTTCAATGATGTAATAGCTATATAGTCATGATTGGTACAAGATCATATATTGACAGATGTCTATAGAAAATTCTTCACATATAAGGCTGATCAAAGTCCCAATTCTAGATAGTGTATTAAACTATATTAAATTCGTCATATATGTATTGTGCAGTAGCAAGACTGAATAATAGTCTAATATAATCCTTCTTCTTCTACCTGTCAATTTCCCAGCTTTAGCCAGGGTCTGCCTTACATGTTGTGAATAGTTTTGGCTAATTGTTTTTACGACCGGCCGCTTGACATCAACCCTCTTTGGGAATGAATTAATCAGTGATGTCTAAATACTCTTATAAAGTACATATGACTCGGAAAAATCACATTGCTATTTGCCAGGATCGAACCCGCGCCCTCGTGCATGAGAGGCGGGCCTTTTAACCACTAGGCCACCACTAACTTCAATATAATACAGTGATAATATCTAACAATATCTAGCAAGTATAACTAATACATAAAAGTAATGCCATTAATGCCAGGTATATTGCCATTAATGCCAGATATAATACCTTAATATTCATATCTTTGTCCAGAAGTAGATTCTCAGCTTTTAGATCTCTATGCACTATACCGCTGGAGTGACAATAGCCAACTGCTGCAACCATTTGAGAGAAAGACCTGGCAGCCTCCGACTCAGGCATTCTGCCTTTTGATACCAGGTGATCTGGAAATAATATGAAGTTTGTTAATAGTGGGAGTTTAAAAGAATTTTGATAGCACTAAAACTTATATATATTAAACTTATACAGGGTGACTGGTGAATTACTATCGATATTTGAGGACGTGATATTTGACGATCATATATGACAAAATAAAAATTAATATAACAAATATTAATAAACTTCTAAGTAAAGTTAACCAAAAGTTATGTAATTAATTACGCATCGTATGAACACCTTACAGATTAGGTATACAGACACACACACACACTCGCGCGGCGGCGTGGTGTTGTATCAGCACGCCGCCGCACGCGTCCACACTTGAAACACTTGGAACGTGTACACACTTTATTTATTTATACGGAAATTTGGTCAAAAATTAAGTACCTATTTTTTTTACATAATTCGAATGAGAATCATGTACCGAGTATGCTCCTTAAATATTGATAGTAATTCACCAGTCACCCTGTATATCTAGCTAAATCTTTTGTTATTTTTTTTTATGTCAAAAGTGGCAAACGAACAGACTGCCTAGATGGGCAGTAGTGACCGTCGCCCAAGGACATACGCAACGTAAATGTTACGGATGCGTTGCCAACCTTAATTGTTAGGGAAAAGGGAGGGGTGGGAATAGGGAAATAGCAGGAAAGTGTGGGAAAGAGATAGAGCAACCGTCTCTCTCACTGATCGGACGAAACGCAGCCACTAAAGACTACTTCACACCGATCTTCTGTGAGAGGGTGGTACTTACGGTCGAGACAGACCATATTTGAGCTGTAGTAAATTAGCTACAGCTAGGCTTTACCACCTACAAGACCTACCTACCTACTGTTAAGAATAGTATCCATTCTGATTGGTTAAAATTATACAAAATATTTACAATGAGGTTTTCTATTGGTGCATAATGACAACAATATTTTTTATTGTGATTATTCCAGAGATGAATCTGGTTCGGTTAAAGATGAAGCCTTTTATTCAGAAAAAAGTATCCAGAATTTAAATGCAACTAATGAGTGAAGTGACAGTTAATTGTAGATATTCAATTTCAGTTTTGATTTTAGATTAAACTAGTTTTTGCACGCGACTTCGTCTGGGTTAATTTCAGAATTAAAATGACCGGGCGAATTCTATTCCTCATTAAAGATATTAGAAAAGATTTTGTATTTGATCAACTTTTTTTCCTTCAATCAGATAAAAAGTAACCACCGTCTTTTCCCTTGTTCTAATCTATCTCTCCACCAATCTCCATCCAAACAAGTACAGCCGTTCTTGAGTTATAAATAGTGTAACTAACACGACTTTCTTTTATATATCTAGGTGAAGATATAGTCGAAATTTTGTGCGAATATACAAATAAAATGCATATATATGTGCTATGCTATGTTGTGTATATTTTCCGGTATCAGCATCATATATTAACCAATCGAAAGTCAACTTTAAAAACTATATCTTAGATATGATAAACAACAAAGAATAAAAGATAAAAGATTATTACGTAATTCAATTATCTGTATGAGATGTGATTTTGTATGATGGTTTCAAAAAGATAAGAAAAGATAAAATATTTTTTTTAAAGAATCATTGTTTAAGATAAATATTTGTTCTAATAATATATTTATATGTATTTATAATAAATATTATCACTTTTAAGTTTGAATTTAATAGGAAATGTTAAGTTTTCGTGTATGTTTTTATAATTAAAAAAATGTATCGATTTTTTTTATTATTAATTATTTATATGACTATTTGACATTTAATACAAAAATATATACAATATAATGGTTTAATAATTTTTGTTGGAACAAGAAACATATACAAACTTTCAAAGATAGACATTTCTATTCATCTTTAAATTATTATGTACATTTTTTTTTTGTATCCTTAGTCCTAGTTCTCGAATATTTAAAAACGCGAAAGACACTTTCAACGTGACGTACTATCGTATGTGAAATTACTAACTGTAGTTATAGAATTGAAAAGGAAAGAAATAGAAATTGAGATAAAATCTGCGTAATCTGATTAATAATAATATATTATATACAGGGTGACTGGTGAATTACTATCAATATTTAAGGAGAATACTCGGTACATGATTCTCATTCGAATTATGTAAAAAAAATAGGTACTTAATTTTTGACAAAATTTCCGTATAAATAAATAAAGTGTTGACACGTTCCAAGTGTTAAAGTGTGGACGCGTGCGGCGGCGTGCTGATACAACACTACGTCACGACACGCGTATGTGTGAGTGTGTGTGTATACCTAATCTGTAGGGTGTTCACACGATGCGTAATTAATTACATAACTTTTGGTTAACTTTACCTAGAAGTTTATTAATATTTATGTTATATTAATTTTTATTTTGTCATATATGATCGTCAAATATCACGTCCTCAAGTATCGATAGTAATTCACCAGTCACCCTGTATATCTTGAAATAATTAAAATTATTAATAATTTTTTATAATTGTATTTAATTTGGTAAGGTTATGATCATTACTTAAAGTTTATAGTTAACGATAATCACGAAAGTATGGACTCGTACTACGGACTTAACAAAAAAATATTTAAGAATACACATATAAATAGATCTCATAAAATTTTTAACGTAATTATAACACGCAATAATATTAAAAATTTAAATAATAAATACATTAATATTATAATTTTATGATCATCTTACCAAAAATTTCTCCGTTCGGCGCGTACTCAGTAACGAGGTACAAAGTGTGACTGCTCTCCATAACCTGAAATTATAATTAAACATACAATTAAAATGTCAACACAAATAAAAGATAAAATTAAAAAAAACTATAAATGTACGATTACTCAGAAAGCAGAATAAGTAGCAGGTTTGAATTTACGATATTGTAATTTTTTTTAAGTGAAACTTATTTGCAACTTCCAAGAAGGTTGCGTTGAACGTTTAACGCTCCTGGGGGGGATACAAAGAGACAGAGCTAGAGAGAATGCGTGTCAAACGCTTGCGGGCAATTAATTGTGACTTTTAAGTAATATTAATAAAGTTTGTTTTAAAGAAACAATAAAAATTCCTTAAAAATCAATTTCAACCATTTCTTATTTTCATTTTAAATGACGAAGTTTCACTACTTCCGCGCGAAGGGACTATTTATAATTAATTTTCATTCTATATTTTTAATACCACTTAATATTATATTATACTAATATGTATTGTACTACATTTCAGGAATAAATTGTAAAAAGTAAAATCAAGTTACCACAAGTTGGCATTTAACTACATACGTAGCGTCAAAAGTTTTTCAATAATATCTTCTCACATAGTATTAACGTAGTATTGAATGAGAAACGTGAAACTATACGTATGTAGTGTGACAAACTTATACTAAGGATATTAATTAGATGGTTACTATTGCTACACACGAGAAGATAAATTCATTTTTTGTATTATAACCACAAGTTTTCATCAAACTATATATACAAGGACTTAAACAGGGTGACTGGTGAATTACTATCGATACTTGAGGACGTGATATTTGACGATCATATATGACAAAATAAAAATTAATATAACATAAATATTAATAAACTTCTAAGTAAAGTTAACCAAAAGTTATGTAATTAATTACGCATCGTGTGAACACCCTACAGATTAGGTATACACACACACACGCGCGTGCGGCGGCGTGGTGTTGTCCACACTTGGAACACTTGGAACGTGTCCACACTTTATTTATTTATACGGAAATTTGGTCAAAAATTAAGTACCTATTTTTTTTACATAATTCGAATGAGAATCATGTACCGAGTATTCTCCTTAAATATTGATAGTAATTCACCAGTCACCCTGTATATTGTACATTAATAGTTACTATGTCAATAGATTTGTAAATCAACTTGTTAAAGTAAGTGTAAAGACTTTAAACTTAATGTTAGGACGTGTTACTTCCTTAATCACGTTTTTGAATACAACTATTTATGTGTGTGTGTGTGTGTGTGTGTTTGTTTTCTCATTACCTGATACAGCCGTACAATATGCGGATGCCTCAGTTTCTTCATAATGGCTATCTCCCTGAAAGTTTTCTTCAGATTGTCTTCACCTAATCTGGATTTGTCGATTATTTTTATTGCAACCTGAAAACATATTATTGTATATATATAAAAGAAAGTCATGTTAGTTACACTATTTATAACTTAAAAACGGCTGTATAGATATGGACTAAAATTGGAAGAGAGATAGATTAGAACCAGGAGACGGACATAGGATATATAATTCTATTCGAACAAACAGAAAAAACTTAATAAATTCCAATATCTGGTTATTTACTGCCTCTAGGGCGGAATAGAGTTCCCCCGGTCAATTATACGTATAGACAAAGTCACAGGCAAAAAGTGGTCTTATATATAAAATTCTCGTGTCACGGTGTTACACAGAGAACTCCTCCGAAACGGCTGGACCGATTTCAATGAAATTTTGTGAGCATATTAAGTAGGTCTGAGAATCGGCCAACATCTATTTTTCATATCCCTAAGTCATAAGGGTTGTTCACACTTTTTTTTATAGTTTTGTCAAAATTTTTTGTTTCTATAATGTAGCATTAAAAAATACATACAATCCAAAATTTTTACTTTTTTTACACCAATCCCTATTTTTTTATGTCAAAACAACGTTTGCCGGGTCAGCTAATATACAGGGTGACTGGTGAATTACTATCAATATTTAAGGAGAATACTCGGTACATGATTCTCATTCGAATTATGTAAAAAAATAGGTACTTAATTTTTGACCAAATTTCCGTATAAATAAATAAAGTGTGGACACGTTCCAAGTGTTCCAAGTGTGTAATTAATTACATAACTTTTGGTTAATACTTAGAAGTTTATTAATATTTGTTATATTAATTTTTATTTTGTCATATATGATCGTCAAATATCACGTCCTCAAGTATCGATAGTAATTCACCAGTCACCCTGTATATATATATGTATATATTTATACAGGGTGACTATATACAATATATATATATGTATATATATCTCAACATTTTGTCGCATTATTTCACACGTAATTCTTGTTTGTTGTGTCACGTGGTTGAAACGTCTTAAGTCAATTTAGTTATCAGTTGAGTTTTTATGTCTGTCTAGTTTTTGTCTGAAATTTCGTCCGAATAATATTCGGGATTTGAATCAACCGCAATCCCGTGATAATCCCGCAAACTGAACCGAATCCCGGGATATGTCATCTTACTCTAAATTTTCATAGAAATATATATGTATGTATATTAAGTTTTATGCAAAAGAACAAGATATATATGTTATTGTACATTTATTTATATAATCTTCGTAGGATTTTCTGATTTCATTGAAAAAATAATAGGTTAATTATGAAATTTTTTTTTAATAAACGTTCCAATGTAGATAGTTATAATACAAATAATATATAACGACAGTTAGTTATAAGAAAAAATAAGTTAAAATATCATACAATGCTACTTATGGTAGACATATATTTCTTTATATAAAAGTTAAAACATATATATTATGATCTACGCTAGTATGAAGATGATAAAAAAATAAGTTACGGGTCTTAAAATTAGTTGGAACCTGAAGTTATAAATTCATTTTATTATTTCTATAATATTTACTAGGAATTATGTATACATAATGAGATCTAAGATTTTCGCGAGTGCTCTTTTAAATGGAACTATTATTTTCGGATTTTACTTAACGTATTTATTTTTGATTATAAACTACATACACCCGACGTTTCGGCTACTTTTCAGTAACCGTGATCACGGGCAGACGAGATTTTGTACAAATACAATGACTGCTTCGATTAACGAAAGAAATACAAATAAGTAGACAATTATATGTCATCAGCCTATCAGAGCCCACTGCTGAGCCTCTTTCTGACATGGAGAAGGTTAGAGCATTAATCACCACGCTTGCTCAAGACGGGTTGGTGATTTCAAACTTATAATTTGATAAGTCCATGTTTCCTCACGATGTTTTCCTTTATCTGTCAGTGATGTCTAAATACTCTTATAAAGTACATATGACTCGGAAAATCACATTGGTACTTGCCAGGATCGAAGCCGCGGCCTCATGCACGAGAGGAGGACCCTTAACCACTAGGCCACCACTAACTTTATAACTAACTAACTAACAATTCATTTTATACTGATTTTATATAGAAAAGTAGTTTTTGATTATATATTTGGTTCTTATTTACGTAATAACAAACGGAAAATCATTTTTACATATATACAGTTATTGAGTTACAAAGTATGTATATAAAATTCATCCAACAGGAACAAATTGTATTTGAAAATTATAAATTGGTTTTGAATCAATTAAAACTATTTTTTTTTTTTGCATAATATTCTTTATTATTTTAACTAAATACTCCCGATGTTTCGGTTATTTTTCAGCAATGATCACGGAAATACGATTTTATATGTCAAAATTCAAAAATAATTTGAAAAACATTAGTTTAATTTAAATTAATACCTACTCGCGAAATTAAAATCATTATACTATTGAATCATTTTAGGAAAGTTTGCTTAAATTTTTTATATATACAAATATTTTTTTCACAAACTACTATTTAAAAGAGCTTTAATATATATTGTAAGACAGGACGTCGTCTAGTAGTTAGTCAGTCTTGTAAATGGATTTACAACATTTATTATAATCTCGACCATTGTAGGAAACACCAGATAATTAGGAAGCATGAATTTCCTCGGTCTGCGGTCACACGACGATAATATTGTTAATATAATACGAATTGTTTATTATAATTGAAACTATTTTGTTTATTTAAATAATTGTGGTAAAAAATACCATTTGACAGATATACTTTTTAATATTTTACGTAACTCAGGCAACGATTAAACTTATACAGCCAAGTACGTGATCAAGATGTCACAATTTAATTGATTAAATTGTTTGTGTGGTCTGTGTGTCTTAAATTCTCGTTACACGTGGCATGTCTCGACTTTAAGTACATTTTCATCAATAAAATTAAATAATAACTTAGATATTTATATTTATTTAAAAAAAATGTATATAAAATCATAATTAATTACGAATCTATACGACTATATGACATATGCATTTTTAAGTATATTTTTTTGTCTATTATATTTTATTATCTGTATTTTATTTGATTTTAAAAGCCCTTGGAAGGAAGGCCGCGGCCTTAGCCCGTAGCGTAGTGCTGTCTTGATGCTATGTAGAATACGTACAAATTAAATAGGTCACACAGGTAATGAAATACATATAAAAAATAGTATATTTATTGAAAAAAAAACAAAGTAATTTAAAATGGCGGTAAACTTTTATTCATCTTGTTCAATAGAGCGGGAAAGCCAACGTCCAGGCATGGAAAAAAAATTCGGCCTTGACTCGAATTGTCTACGGTTTGACGTTCTTTAATTTCAAATACTTGTCTATGGTATTATATAATAATGAAAATACTTTAATCTTACTAATTATTATTAATTTCATGAGAGGATAAGTTAATTTTTTAAATAACATTGTATGTAATAATATTTATTTAATGACTGAAAATCTCTGACGTCAGAAATAGTTTTGACGTAAGCAACAACTAGGTATTTTAATTTATAAAAATTGTCACAATTTTTCATACTTTTAATTAATACATATGAAAAACATATTTTAAATTAATATAATGAACATTTTCAATAGGTATATATCTTCTTCTAAGATTTAGTTGTCAATATGTATGACTTTTTAAATTAAACCTACTTTTTTAATCAAAAATATGGATAAATATCTTGTAAAGAAAAAAAAATAAATCCTATTATTAATGGTTCCTATATATATTTTCAAATCTAAACCTCTTACTAGATTTCATATTATTTAAGTTAAAAAAAATTGCGTATGCGAACAGCTGACTAAAGAAAATGGCTGATTATACATTTGTTATTGCTTTGTTTTAATATAAATTGATTGCTTTCTGTACGTAAAACATATTTATTTTACTGGTATTTTCATGCAAGTATTATAAGGAAACTTTATAACTGTAAAAGAATTCGTATTATTTTTTTTTTATAAATTAATCTTGGTTCTATTTTAACGTAAGAATTTTTATTCATTTGCTTGAGAGCGAAAAATGTAATTTTAATCTAAAGAATTACGCTGTTAAATTTTAAATGTCTTAGTTATAAATCTTCTTCTTCTTCTACTTGGAAATTTCCTAGCTTTAGCCAGGGTCTGCCTTACATGTTGTGTATAGTTTTGGCTAATTGTTTTTTACGATCCGCCTGCCAGACATCAACCCTCTTTGGGAATGCATTAATCAGTGATGTCTAAATACTCTTATAAAGTACATATGACTCGGAAAAATCACATTGGGACTTGCCCGGGCCAGGATCGAACCCGCGCCCTCGTGCATGAGAGGCGGGCCTTTTTACCACTAGGCCTCCACTTGTGTCTTGTCGTAATTATACACAAAATAAAGGAACAAATTTAAACGCTTTCGCAATATTTTTATTTGATTATTACTTTCCTATTTGAATAAGTTCATCAAATTGTCAATAATTGTTAATTCAATATTTATATAATGTGTGATATAAAAATATATAGAAAAATAAATATTTTTTTATAAAAAAAAAATATGCAACGCAACGACAACATGTAAGCCTCGAAACGAAATACTAATTTATTTAAGAGACGAATCCTCTCATCATTCAATGTATTCACGGTGCGTGTGTCGGGTCCATCGTTGTAGTGAGAGGAGCTTCAACAGTGACTGGGACTTGTGACCCAGGTGTAGGTTTAATATATATAGAGAGACGAAACCTCTCATCATTCAATGTATGCACGGTGCGTGTGTCGGGTCCATCGTTGTAGTGAGAGGAGCTTCAACAGTGACTGTGACTTGTGACCCAGGTGTAGGTTTAAGGGACACTATCTAACGTTAAACGCTCACCTCCACCGTACAAGCTCCTCTCTCTACCAAAATTGGAATGACCCTACTAGGGCTGTCTTTAAAATACGTTCTAAGAATGAATTAATATTCGTTCTGGACAGGCCTAATTAAAAATAACCATTTTATTGAGTAATTACTTTATCAAAGAAAAAGGAAATAAAGGACTGTCAGTCAACAAAATACATGTTTTAATTCTCATTAATATTTCTTTATTTCATTTAATAGTAATCGTACATCTTTATTTATTCCCAAAGAGGGTTGATGTCAGGCAGGCGGCCGGTCGTAAAAACAATTAGCCAAAACTATTCACAACATGTAAGGCAGACCCTGGCTAACGCTGGGAAATTTACAAATAGAAGAATTAATTATATATTTCTTGACATTAAAATAATACGAGAGATGAAATAATTCATATTTAACTACTTTCTAATATAAAAATAACTAAATAAATAATTTTTTCTTGCCTAATTTTGAATATGAGTGTTTTTTGTCATATTTTCAAGATTCAGCCGAATTTATAAATTAAAATAATTTTTTGTATCAAATTATTTATATGACTTGTCATTTCTCACAACTTTGTCGTACGTAATAATAATAAGACTGTCTTTTGATAATAAAATTCAAAATAATGCTAGTAAATTAAATTTGATTATTGAGGTTCTAAGCTTTTTAAGCATAATATCTGCATACATACAACATCTATTTATATATTTTTTATTGTTCTATATGCTGGTAATATAATAACTAGTCATCTTTAAAAAATATAGTAATAATAATTAATTAAAAACCTTCATCCATCGACAAATTCTAAGTTTCCTCGACACAACACTCAAGATAATTCATCCAACGAATGAAAACGTTGAAATTGGCCAAATATTCAACGGTTCCAGTGGAAATTAAGACTTAGCATATGAAAAAATAAATTAGCTATGTATGTATATTTTGACTAATGGAGTAATAATCTCTAGCTAATCACAATATTATATATATTAATCATCATTGCTTTACCGACCATATTCCATCAACAATCCATATTAGAGAAATGACTGATCTTTAATATCTACAAGAGCTGTTTCCTATAGCTTCTTCGAATGAGGATATTTCATCAAATATCATACAAGTATGCTAACCACAAGTTATTTAGTAAACAGTTTACTTACAGTTTTGAGTCATGAAAACTTAGTAACTATCTGTTTTATCCGATGAACTTCTACTAAGAAGTTTTTTTGGTAACATATCAAATTGTATGTAATTTTACACAATATCAGCAATATATAAAAGAATCTTAAAGAAATCTTAAAGAAATGAGAATTCTTAAAATCTTATGTACATACAATATAAATGTTTAAACTGAATTTTTAATTTAATATAAAATCATTTTCTTTTATTACAGAAAATAAATAAAGTTTCTGTTCTATATAGCAATAAAAATTATGACGTAGTAAATAAATGTATTAATAAATGATTTTTATTATATATATATCTATAAAAATATTGACATCACTAAGATATAATGAGTTTTTTAAAATAATGATGGTGACTCAATAATAATTAAAAGTTTATTTCAAATTATTATTTCGAGCTATAAGCAGATTTAAAAAATATTTACAGCAAATAAAAGAAATCTTTTATATTTAATATTGACGCCAATGATACTCAATAATATTTGTTTTGTAAGCATCGATGTTATTATTTGGTTTGGCGAATCAGTCCGAGTTTTGTTAAAGGAAACACTTTGAGATGTCATCGGTAACCGAAATAATTCTTTTATAATTTCCGTTTCATTTTGCTAGTTAGTAATGAGTTTTTAATATATATTACTACTTAATACTATATTGCAGTTATATTTTTATGACTTCCAAATATATTTTCAAATCATATTGGTACCTTAACTACAAGATCTTGGCTACATATAAATCTAGATAATTATTTAAGTTTCCCCATATTATTTGATTTCCTAATATACAATATATATGTGTTATAATAAAATAAATATGGTCTTGAAAAATATTTATGAAATTTTGTATGACAAAGGTAACTTTGAATTAATTATCATTGACTATTTCAGTCTTTGTATTATAAGGTTAATAAATTTTAAAATAAAAAATCCAAAGCTATATATTTGAAAATTAATAAATTTGGTTATGAGATAGTATTTGCAAAAGTTAACTTAGTTATCTTATTAAAATTAGTATTTTAATCGATTTTTTTTTTAATAAATGAATGATTTTTCCATTTTACTTATATTCAATTTGATGCACAAATTTATGAATAAAACTATTGGGATGAATAAAATTAATTGTTGTCTAATTAAGAATAAGAAAAATTTAAAAAGTATCAAGTTTGTAACTTTTTTTATATAAGAAAGAAAGACAGAAAAATTTCATTGCTGAATTGATAGACCAATACTTAATAAAATGCTAAAAAAAATATCTAAAGTATTATTTATCTCTACAATAATATATGCAGTTTTTATTTGTTACACATGATTATAGCAAATAATATAGAAAAATATTATAATTAAATTCATTTCAAAAAATGCGTTAAAATATTTCGAAACCAATTTTCTGTCACGTTTATGCAACCTTTTAGCAAAACTTTTTATTACTTCTGTCAAACTTATTAATTATAGGTTATATATAATTAAATATAAAAATATGTCCGTATGTAAATGTACTAATATTTGAATTCAATATTTAGATCAATTTAGTAATATTAACAATAGGATTCTTATAAGAAATGTCATTGTTTATTTAGCATGCGTCGAAGTTAGTCTCAAAAGTTTTGTACCTATATGTTGACTGTTGACATAAATTTACGAATTATATAAAAAAAAAAAAACTCACAAGAACATTCTGGAGGTCGAATTCATTACCTTTCACATAAAAAGATTTTAATTGAAAAATGTTAAAGAAAAAAGTTTAGTTTGTGTAGTTTAGAAGTATTGAAGTAAGATAATGCGACCGAGTCTGGGAGTGCGCACATCTCTGGCAAGTATGTGATAAACAATACATTCGTAAACTGGCCGCGTTGCTAGTTATTTTTTTAAGGCAAACACGTTCTGTTTCGCCCCATCAGTCAGCCAGATTCAGTTCAGGGAACGGGTTCTGATATACTCAATGCTACATCGCTAACCTCATACAGAGATCGGTGACTTAACGAATGGAAAAATCCGCTCCCATCACAACAAACACGCACTACACTCTACAATCCTATCCGGTAACAAGTGGTATCACTTGGCTGCACAAATATAACGAATGAAGCACAGAAAACACTGAAATACGCGTGATAGATATGTACCCACCTTACTCTTAGTTATAGCGTGTGTGGCGAGCTTTACGACGGCGAAGTTGCCCGTTCCTATAGTTTTTTCCAGCTGGTAGTTCCCGACGCATACTAGCTGGTCTATTGGGAAATGCTTAGTTTTGTGCGGCTTAATGTTACTAGCCATTGTGCTGGACAGACGCGTGAGAACACCGCACTCGCGTACTCTACGAAGGTTCTCTAGTTACTGTGCGTAGTTCGTCAGTTCACCGCGCGGCAGCACCGGCGCTCACGTCACTCGCTAGGGAGGTTCAATTGCGTCCTATTACATTTCATTAATAAGAACATACAGCCAATCAAACAATTGTTTATAACCACATAAATTGCAACGAAAATCTACAAATATATTATTGAAACTAAACTCGGACTGATGCGACATTGTCGAAAAGATACTGCCAGATAATCTTATCAGTGATTTCTTATCAATGTGTATAGTTCAAGTTGAACACGAAACAATGCCTATGGAACGAGAGCTCTATTCACAACATTTACGCGCCTCGCTCCCTCTCACTCTAAGCGCTTTGTCGTCTATTGGAGTGAGCGAGACGGCGCTACCCGTCGAGCCGCGTGACGTCATATGACAGATTTACGTCATAGGCGGCAATTTCAAACGTCAGACATAAGTATCGATTTTGGTTTGTGTTCGAATTTCGAAGCTATAGCTGGCAGGATTTTAATTTAAAATGCATATTAAAAAAGCAAATAAAGATGGCGTATGTAAATTAATTTTAATCTGACCAACATGAAATGAAACATCGTGACCTTGTATATTGAATAATCTTGTTTTCATTATAATTTATCACTGCAAATCATATCGTCTGCTCTGATATATTTCTTTTTTTAAATTATCAGTTTAAAAAAATGTAAATACGTAAAGATATATCTGAAATTGACAATATGGTCATTCATTTAATTTTTTAAACTTATATACTTGTCTAGACCACCGAACATTAAATACGTAATATTTTACACAATTTTTCACTTTTTCATAGCTACTTAACCGAAATTACATATAATACGATTAATTATATCTGTAATTATTAGAAATAGATTACCGAACTTCAAATTGATTGATTGCTAAGTAAGTTATAAGTTTATTTGATGAAATATTTCAGTACAATTCAAATAATGGTACATTCATGTTTTTGATGAATGAGATGTTTCTGAACATGTATCTATTATCTTATTTTCATTCATGGATGACTGCGATTGATTTACAAGACTGCTCCAGGTGAGTCTGTCGAGCGCCATCTGTGTTGATGTGACTAAAACTATAAAACAGCGCCATCTAGATATAGATGAATAAATTGTTAGCTCTTACTTGGAGTTAATACGACCGACAGGCGCTAGATGGCGCTATAATTATATTTCATGTTAGTTTCTATTAAACTGTTTAGTATTGTTTAGTTAGTGCGAATCGTAGTCGCTAGATGGCGCTATAATTATATTTCATGTTAGTTTCTATTAAACTGTTTAGTATTGTTTACTGTTAGTGCGAATCGTAGTCGCTAGATGGCGCTATAATTATATTTCATGTTAGTTTCTATTAAACTGTTTAGTATTGTTTAGTTAGTGCGAATGGCAGTCGCTAGATGGCGCTGTAATTAATTCTATACTAAAGTTACTTTCGGAGAAAAATAAATTATTATTGTTGGAAAATTAAGAAAGTTAATGTTTTAACACTGACCAAAAAGAGGATTGTAATAAGTTAAATGTTGATGTGTGTGTCTATATCATCGTATATTTTAACGGGATGGAGCGCTTTTGATGAGGTTATTTCATTTAAAAGCCAGATTCCTAGCGTGATCTTTATTTATTTAAGTAGGTAAATTTGTTTAATATCGTCCCAGCATTATATCCGCTCTCTTTCAAAATGATGTAACATATTTTTGATTTATGTTCACTAAATCAACTGCCTCACGCTTGCCAGTATGATTGTTAAATGAAAATGTAGGCTTTTTAAACTTCAATAACATTTTGTAAGACACTAATGATAGAAGATTGTGACTACATAGAGATACGAACATTGTGTACCTAGTATTATTTGGTTTTACAAACAAAATACATTTATTCTGAAACTATATTTAAGGATTTATTTTTAAAGAACCTGAAGGATGTTCTCCATCATATTTTAAACATAACTTATGAAAAGCACAATTTTCTTCAAGACGTAGCTAATTCTTGAAGAAAAATTTGTTTTCTACATAACTTACTAAAGATAGCTAAGCATTTTATCATATTAGCTTATTCCGAATCATTAAAGTCCCTCAAGTATTATGGTAATATTAAAACCGTTCTCGAAACCATAATAGTATTATTTTTCTTTTTGTCACTACGGTACAAATGTTAGATTGTGCAGAATATGTAACGAAAACTATAGTTTTATCTATCCAAAAACCTTCTCCATGTGAAAAGAAGCCTTTGCTCAGCAGTGGGCTCTGATAGGCTGATGATGATGATAGTTATTTTTAACTTCGACTTGACAGTACCTTACTGTCATTCCACCAGCATTGGAAGAAGTCTTAGGTAGTATAGCTTACTATGTATTCATTCTCTCTTCTTGAAGACGTAACTCTAATTCGAAGGAAACATACATACACGTGAAATTTTCCTTTTCTAGTTTATCCAGTTACTTATTGGAGTCCAATCTTTTTGTGTCCAAATTTATATGAAGACGTGATCTCCTATATCTTCCTCCACTTCAAGTAAGTCCTAAGCCGAGGTCCGGCCTCTGTAAAGGCACCCGTCGGCCCCGAAATAACATGAGTGCCTTGTATTTCAATAACGCGAAAATGAGTTTGTACGAAGCAATTCGCGGCGAATTCACCCTTTTAGGACCAGCTGTTACATGTCTCTACCAATTTATCATTCGACACTCTTTTGTGTTTCCACACAGTACTCAAGATTATAATTCGTGCAACAAATAAAAACGATGACATTCGCTAAATATTATATGATATCAGTGTGAATGAATACACGGCAAAAAAAACTGGGCTGATGTAGTTTTTGACATGTTTTTGTCATTAATGTCTTTAAAATTACTATTTAAATTACACAAAATTTCTTTTACTTGGCCATTGGTAGGTTTAAGTATTATTCGTTTATTTATTTTGGTATACATTTCAGGAACAATTAGAACTCAAAAATTATATATTATGTATTTAAACACGTCACGCTGCTTTCAGTACTAAAGGTGAAGTGTGTAGAAGAAGTACTGGTCCAAAGTTAATAGACTACGTGGCCCGTAGAATGTCAAAAACACACATACACTATCTGTGTACACTCACACTAATGCAAATCGCAGCTTAAAAGGTCATTTGTAGGTCACTAGAGGTCAAAAGATATCTTTATACCAGCCTTTCTCAAAATTGTGATAACGCCCGCTTGAAGGCGCTGCGAGCCTAAATGGCGGTAAAGTCCCAAAAAAAATATGGCGACGTTGCATAGAGACTTGAGTGATTTGTAATATTATATATCTAGGATACGTTTTTCTTTCTCAATAATATGTCATGTATATGTTTTTTGGTAATTAAGTTTCTTTTTAGATTATTATAATTATTTTTTATTCCTTTTTGTTGTTATATACATATTCTTTCACCATTTTTTTATTGTATCTAGTAAGTTTTGGAGTAAGATCTAAACATTATGTAATCCATGTTGAGTTAGCCTGTAAGTTATGATACGCAACTGTAAAATTAAGTTAAATGATGTTATCATTTAGTTATAAGTTTTTGTGTATCATTTTGGCTTCCTATTAAATAAAATAAGTTAGACTGGTTATTTAGTAGGTGAAAAATAAAGACTGTTATGTTTTTTTTAATGTACCTATCCTATGTTCTTTTATTTTCTACTATTTTTTGTACCCTATGGACTGTGTGTTCGAAATAAAGATTATTATTATTATAAAACATATTTTATTCTCAAAGTGATAGAATTCCCTCTAGTTTATAGTCCGGGCATGATGTACGCAATGTTATGTAGGGTGTCCCTCAATAGAGGCTGTGGGGGCGCGATGGCTGGGATGGCGCGCGTCACACACAGTAGGGGGGCGAGCGAGCAGAGTAGGGTGTCCAGTAGTACTGATACTGACCCGGACACGGCGATTTGACCCTGGAACGATAAAAACGATTTAAAATCACTTTATTTCTCAAAATTACAATCAATTCGAGGAGAAATAAACTTAACAATTTAGTTATAATTAATATACAGAGCGCGCAAAATAGACGGTATTACAAAAAAACATTTATGAATATGTTGGTACATTACAATAATTAATTAATTACTTAATTGGCAAGTGAATTTATATTTTATGCGAACATTTGTTATTGATTATAATTCCGGCTTACATGTTTTTAGAAAATTTTCAAAACATTATTTTTAATAACATTGCCTTTGAAAATGTGATGCTTAAGTAATTTCTTATAAATATACATATATTGTTTTTGCGTCTTTTATATAATTTGGAAATGAATTATAAATTCGTGCTCTTCGGTACAAAATATACACACACACACACACACTGACATTGCCGGAGGAATAACATTGTATGAATAATATTATAAAACCAGTGATTTCACAAATTAATTCTTAATTGTATGAATCAGAAGATTTTTAATACAATGAATGTTATTGTACTGATATAATTACATCAGAGAAATACAGATTTAAATAGAAGATATGAGGTTTAATATGTAGTTATTATTATATCTTCTTCTACCTGGCGATTTCCCAGCTTTAGCCAGGGTTTGCCTTACATGTTGTGAACAGTTTTGGCTAATTATTTTTACGACCGGCCACCTGAATGACATCAACCCAATTTGGGTATCAAAAAGTAGTTATTATATATGTATCAGTAAATGAAACTAATATTTTCATATATATACTTATTTTATACTACATACTCACGACGTTTCGGTTACTTTGCAGCAACCGTGATCACGGGCAGATGGAAGTATATAGTTTTTCAAATAATGTGTCTGTCTGTGTGTGTGTGTGTGTGTGTGTGTCTGTGTGTGTGTGTGTTACCTCGTGTTCCTTAAGCCTCTCTCCAATGATGGCCAGACTCTCTCCCAGTAGTCGTAGGTGCGCGGCCACTTCAGCTGCACTGCAGCTAGGCGCGCGGTATGACGAAGCCGCTGACACCGGCTAGGAAGACAAACAGGCATTATATATATACTAGCTGCGCCCCGCGGTGTTTTCGAGATTTCCGGGATGTAAAGTAGCCTATGTGTTATTCCTAGACATCAGCTTCCTTTATACAAAATTTCATCAAAATCAGTTCAACCGTTTGAGCGTGAAGAAGTAACAAACATACACACACACTCACAAACTTTCGCAATTATAATATTAGTAGGATATAATCTTCTTTAAAAGACAATTCATTGTTTTCTTTAAAAAATTTTTTTGGTAATATAAGTTTGAACCTAATCTTTGAATTCCCGAACGCACCCGAAGCGACGTTAAAATTATGACGTTTGTTGTGTTTACTTTTACGCGGGAAACTATTTGTCGACGCGATTTGTGTATTTGTAAACTTAATTAAAGTTTTTAAAGCGTTTCTGTTTAAGATAATAATAAGTAAAAACTCTTTATGACAAGTATGTGCCAGTTAAGATTTATTTCTTACTTAAAACTCCTAGCTTTATATGGCAACTATATTATTTTATAATTTTGTTAGTATCCTTTATTATAAAACAGTATATCTCACCACTAAAGCTTGTTGTGGAGGTGTGATAGGTTTCGGAGTCTTGGTGGCAGGTCGACTTGTACACGGGGTTGTTTTAATACCTGAGAATAGTAATCAATAAATTACTGAAAAAAATATTAATTATATAATAACGAAGATCAATATACACACATGTACATACATGCTACGAGTATTTAGACATCACTGATTAATGCATTCCCAAAGAGGGTTGATGTCAGGCAGGCGGCCAGTCATAAAAACTATTAGCCAAAACTATTCACAATATGTATGGCAGACCCTGGCTAAAGCTGGGAAACTGCCAGGTAGAAGATATATATATATCTGTATATACATGTGTGTATAATTTCATATTATACTACTTTTTCTTGCTACTTTGTTCACTTGGAGTTAAATTTCCTTGTTAAAAAATGTAAATACTACATATTTAACAGTTCATTAACTTTATCAGTTACAGTTATATTTAAACTATAGTTATTTTTAACTTAATAACAGTCTTACTCGGGTTCGATATAATCTTGCTAGTAGTTCCCTGGTTCTGGTCCTTCTGCATCGCAAAACGTTTAGCTTTCCGTTTCCACAAGTAACGTTCGTTGTAATTTACCTGTTAACATTATATATTAAATTTACACTTACTATGAGTACATAGACATCCTACATAATAATATATATGACATGACTAGAAACTTGTGGTAAGAAGACAATTTCAATATAATAAGTTATATATACATAGTAATACATATAAAAAGTATTATTTGTGAGGAAAGTAACGGGACATACACTATATATATTGCTGACTGGATCATATGTATTATATATTAAATACATAGTATATGTGGGTGATATTTTGGATTCCGAATTATATTAATAATATTTATAAAATTGTATTTTATTATTTTTTTTAACTTTAAATGAGTTTGTAACACTATTGTAAATATTATTAAAATCATCTGATTCTGTCTTTAAAATGGCGAATATTGTCAGTGATCGATCATATATTTCATGAAGTCTGTGATATAATTTCTAAAGCAATCTATAAAGAAAATGAATCCTAATAATAATCTGAATCTCGCTATTCATATATACAGGGTGACTGGTGAATTACTATCGATATTTGAGGACGTGATATTTGACGATCATATATGACAAAATAAAAATTAATATAACATAAATAATAATAAACTTCTAAGTAAAGTTAACCAAAAGTTATGTAATTAATTACGCATCGTGTGAACACCCTACAGATTAGGTATACACACACACACACACACACACACATATGCGTGCGGCGGCGTAGTGTTGTATCAGCACGCCGCCGCACGCGTCCACACTTGGAACACTTGTAACGTGTCCACACTTTATTTATTTATACGGAAATTTTGTCAAAAATTAAGTACCTATTTTTGTTACATAATTCGAATGAGAATCATGTACCGAGTATTCTCCTTAAATATTGATAGTAATTCACCAGTCACCCTGTATATGTATCAGACAAAGTCGCTGATAAAAACTAGTATAAAATATATATAATATGTTCTTAATATACTAACATTAGCCCACAATTCTCCCAAACGTTTTGATATAGCCGAGAAGTCCATGTCGGGATGTTTCTTCAACAAATCATTCCGGGCCTCCTTGGCCCACATCATATATGCTGTTATACGGGTTTTACCTAAAACAACAAAATCTATTAATATATATATATATATATAGCAAATTTCAGACCTATGTTTTATTTTGATATTATTAGAAAAACACAATAGATTTTTTAATTTAATACTATTAAGAAGTATTCCATTTGCAATATATAATTTTGGTCAAACACTGACTAAGCTTTGATAATAATAATTGTCATATCTTGGTAAAAAATTCAAAGATGCTTGTAAATATATAAACCAGCTAGATAAACTCATCGGAAAATTGAATAAAAATTACATATATATGTCGCAGAAGGAGTCATATAAAATCCATTGTTCGTCATCAGATTACTAAATGTTGAATTTCTTTTTAATCAATCAATGCGCACAGCCGGCGCAGGCGCAGTCACTACTAATAGTTATAGTAAAGTCTATAGATATCGAAATAATTTGAATATAAATCATCCAAGGCTTCACAAGTTGCTGATTAATAGAACAAATGACTTTAGAAGTTGATATCAGTTACTAATTTACTATCTCTAACATATATCCTACTAATATTATAATTGCGAAAGTTTGTGAGTGTGTGTGTATGTTTGTTACTTCTTCACGCTCAAACGGCTAAACTGATTTTGATAAAATTTTGTATACAGGAAGCTGACATCCAGGAATAACACATAGGCTACTTTACATCCCAGAAATCAGCGGGTAACACCGCGGGGCGCACCTAGTATGTATAACACATCAAAGATCTTCAAAAGACTTGCTACCTACCTATATACTTGCTTTATCTAGTTATCATCAAAAATCTTCTACCATATAACAATTTTTAAACAAATTCTAGATATATAATTGTTTTTAATATTTATTTGTTTTTAAAATATTTTTAACTTTAACTATAAGTTCATATTGTTTTGCTTAGTCATATTTAATTAGCAAGCTGTGGGTCTCCTGTAATTGAAAGAGCACAAATTTCTGTAATATTTAGTATTGATTACTCTAAAATTGTATACTGTGTATCTTTTTTTGGGGATCCTCAAATAATTACACACGCACGCACATAAAAATACCCATATACCTGTTAATATCCTCTAGTTGCATGTTTTAACAATTATTTTCTTTACATCTACTCTCTTTTTGTTATCCACTTTGTTAAAAATATTATATTAAACACTTTACAATGTAATCTCTGTGGCCATAGTTTTAATTAAGTTTTAAAAACTGTACAAATATAATCTGTATACGCTGTTGATTACAAATAAATAAATTTCAATTCTAAAAAGATAGCCTTAAAAACTCAAATAAATTTTAATATACCTTTATCTTTCCGTTGAGCTTTGGCCCTGCCGACCACTCTTCCATCTTTGACTATCAATTTCTTCTTACTTTTCTCCATCATGTAAAGTGAATTAGCTGGTGTTCGAGCCGAACCTTCATCGGAAGCCGAACTGTCGGATTCCATGCTGGAATAATTCCAGGTATTATGTCCAGATAGTAAAATATTAGAAGTTATTTATTCCATACAAATGTATGATTGAAATGGGCTTACATAGATTGGTACTTAATGGTATATAAGATTTCTGTGTGTATCCATTTCAATAAAACTAATATTTTCACATATATATACTTCTTCTTCGTGGCAATTTCCCAGCTTTAGCCAGGGTTTGAACATTTATTTATTTATTTTGAGATATACTTTGCATTTCTTATTATTTTAAACTACACACTCCCAATGTTTTTGTTACTATGTAGCAACAAAAATATCAGAAGTATATAGATAGTTGATTCAGTCAAAGACTTTCTGATTTAACTAAAACATATATTTTGGTAACATTTTAACTAAGTATATGTTTAATTATAATGTATGGCATGACATAGTTTAAACATGATATTCTTCTGTCTGATATAAGTCTTCTATACAAAATGTAACTTTGAACTGCTAAAAATAGCAGAAATACACAACAAAGGCACATTAAAGCGTCCTAAATAAAGTTTTAAATAAATTAAGACTTAAGAAACAGTTTATAACTTACCTATCGCCATTGTCGGGATTGTTTTCATAGAAATCCGATTCGCTGCCAGACGCGGTACCTTCTTCTTGAGGCCGCTGAGGAGTTTCCTGTAGTTCAACCGTTTCATCTTGTTTCACTCCAGAGTACGTCTTGAGGGGTGTTTGTCGTCGAAATCTGGTTTCGATATCATCCGGAGACTCGAAATCCATCAGCTTAGAGCTCTTCTTTCTCACTCTCCCACTCCGAGATACACCAGTCACCTCTAAATCTAATAATATTATTCATTCAATATGCCATAATTATGCTCATATAGAAATACGAAGTTAATACATAGATAGCATGTAGCGTAAACATGTCTATTAGAACAATTGTAAGGAGATTATATATTTTTTTACCTTCTTGCATGTTTTCAATAAATTCTTTAGCGGAATTAAGACTTCTTTGGTAGTTTTCTAAGAATTTGAAAACTAAGAGCTTTTAGTCTCACACTAAAAACATTTATTAAGACTGTCACTGTCAAAGTCAATCATCGATCGGCGTCGGTGACATAGAATCATAATTGAAAATAAATAATTTAAAAAAAACCTGCCTGAAATAGTTCTAACATTTGTCAAATCTAATAAAACAGTTATTTATTTGTATGTTTTATTAAAAAAAATATATAAAAATGCATTAATAGATAGATAAGAGAAAAAAAGAGATTAAGCAACATTTGTATGACTTAATCGGTACATATATAATAATTGTGACTCTTATACCGTCAAATCTATCAAATTATGGAATACGCTCCCATATGAAACTAGAAAGTCACAGTCTTTAAATATATTTAAAAGTCGAGTCAAGCTTTATTGTATGTCACTGTAAATACTCTTTTTATATACAGTGTGACTGGTGAATTACTATCGATACTTGAGGACGTGATATTTGACGATCATATATGACAAAATAAAAATTAATATAACATAAATATTAATAAACTTCTAAGTAAAGTTAACCAAAAGTTATGTAATTAATTACGCATCGTGTGAACACCCTACAGATTAGGTATACACACACACACATATACGCGTGCGGCGGCGTGGTGTTGTATCAGCACGCCGCCGCACGCGTCCACACTTAGAACACTTGGTACGTGTCAACACTTTATTTATTTATACGGAAATTTTGTCAAAAATTAAGTGTCTATTTTTTTTACATAATTCGAATGAGAATCATGGACCGAGTATTCTCCTAAAATATTGATAGTAATTTACCAGTCACCCTGTATATATATTATGTATGTATAATTATTATTTGTGTGTATGCATACTCTGGTATGTATATGTAGTTTACGTTTTTGTATATGTATATGTCATAATATGCACTACCCTCTCTAGAATATTTGTTATCCTCATCGGTTGGGTTGCCTGTAAGAGATCGCTTGTAATGATAAGGCCGCCCTTGCCTTCAATTTTCTGTATTAATATATAATGTTATTCCCTATGATTTTGAGTGCAATAAAGTATATTTCTTGTTCTAATAATTAGAATATATAAAAAGTGCCAAAAGCCAATAATTATTATTCTTACTATTGTTGTTACAATAAATGTGTAAAGAAATAATGTACCTGAACTAGTAATAGAAGTATTTTCTTGTACTAAACTAGTACAGGCAATGTTAATCTAATGATTCGTTTAAACTTTCTTCTAATATCGTCTTTTGTTTTTAAGACCATGTGGTCGTACTGAGGCTGTTTCTTTTTATGATATGACTACATTCGAACTACTATACTAATGTCAATGTGTTAATTAAAGTCTTCTATTAAAATAATATAAAATAAATGAGGGTTTTCATTCCATTCGTCAAACTCTTTCGTGTTTCCTCCACACTGTACTCATGATTATAATTTGTCTAATAACTAAAACGTTCTCATTGGCAATATCTAGTTATAAGTTGTTTTACTCAAACATTCGATTGGTTAACATTTTCAAAAGCAACAGCAAAGAAAATGTCACAAATTAAAAAATTGAATTTTTACACCGATGACGACATTAATTACTTGAATAGTATACAAAACTATATTGTAGAACAGGAAGCTTTTAACTTAAATATTCTATACAAAATGTATGGGGTCATTCATAAGCAAATATAAAGGTAAGCATTGTCATAATTTAGTCAGTATCAATAAAGCGTTCAAATAAACAGGTCGTTCTCATTACCTAAACACGATACTCACAAACTAGCTGGTCTCCATAAACTATTAAATCTAAATGGTGTGTGGTATCAAACCCATACACAAAAAAATATCCCAAACTCTACGCCACATCTTATCTGTATAAAAAGAAAATTAAAAAAAATAAACAACCACCAAAAAGTAATTATATATTTGCATTAAACATTTCCATAAAGCTTACAATGTTATATAAAACCAACCGACCAGCAGTATGGACGATACTCAGCTTAGTTGAACGTTAAACAACAGAAAACACGAAACAACAACACAACAACAACAATTTAAATCAACTGAGACGACCAAATATATTACTAAATATGACAGCCGCACACATTACAATTCCGAGCCCTGTTAGTAATTGATTCGAGTCTAAGCCTTTTTCGATGTGGTTCTCCTCATCTTCGTGCTCATGATGGACGGCAGACAAGGCCTTCGCCAGTTCAGCGTCAGATTTCGCGCTGTTCTGTGACGCGGCGAGAATAAGACGTTTGATTTCACGCATCTGTGTCTCCAACACGTGGTCTTGGTGATTCAAGTGATCTGGGACAAGTGATAAGGTTAATGACCTCCCAAATATATATATATATATATATATATATATATATATATATTACTAGCTTTCCGCCCGCAGCTTCGCCCGCGTGGAGTTCGGTTATATAGCGTTTCTAATATAACCTTTCAAAAGTCTGGGATAAAAACTATTCTGTTCTTTCTCAAGGTCAACTCTATGTCTGTACCAAATTTCATTAAAATCAGTTCAGTGGTTTAAGGCGTGAAAGCGTAACAGAAAGACAGACAGAGTTACTTTCGCATTTATAATATTAGTAGGCATGTATGTGAAATATGTATGTATATCCCAGCAGAAGAATCAAGAAGATAAATAACTTAGACCAGTTTTGGTGAAACTATTAATAATTTATTCATAAGTAATGCAACATTATATTTTTCCCCTATATGTATATATGTAATAAAAAATATAATATTTACCTATCAGCGACGATTGTTTGTTTATCAAATTGTTGATGTTTTCCTGCATTAAGGTCAAGTTATTCGCTAGTTGCTCCTGAAACGTTAAAATACATGTAAAAATAATACAAAATCTTAAAGCATATTTGTGTATTGACTTCAAGACCAGACACATTTCTATATTCGCGTATTTTAAAGTGCGTAGTGATGATAGAGCTTACGGTGTCTTGGGAAACCAACATCCCCAAAGACCATGCTATCAAGGTCAATAAATAGTAAGAGGTTTCGTCATCTTTGACCTACGATAGCATCACAAAGAAAGAAATACCGTCATCCTTATATATTAACAAACTGAATATAAGTATTGAGAAAAATTTCTCATCATTCCATGTATTCACGGTGCGTGTGTCGGGTCCATCGTTGTAGTGAGAGGAGCTTCAACAGTGACTGGGACTTGTGACCCAGGTGTAGGTTTAATATATATAGAGAGACGAAACCTCTCATCATTCCATGTATTCACGGTGCGTGTGTCGGGTCCATCGTTGTAGTGAGAGGAGCTTCAACAGTGACTGGGACTTGTGACCCAGGTGTAGGTTTAATATATATAGAGAGACGAAACCTCTCATCATTCCATGTATTCACGGTGCGTGTGTCGGGTCCATCGTTGTAGTGAGAGGAGCTTCAACAGTGACTGGGACTTGTGACCCAGGTGTAGGTTTAATATATATAGAGAGACGAAACCTCTCATCATTCCATGTATTCACGGTGCGTGTGTCGGGTCCATCGTTGTAGTGAGAGGAGCTTCAACAGTGACTGGGACTTGTGACCCAGGTGTAGGTTTAATATATATAGAGAGACGAAACCTCTCATCATTCCATGTATTCACGGTGCGTGTGTCGGGTCCATCGTTGTAGTGAGAGGAGCTTCAACAGTGACTGGGACTTGTGACCCAGGTGTAGGTTTAATATATATAGAGAGACGAAACCTCTCATCATTCCATGTATTCACGGTGCGTGTGTCGGGTCCATCGTTGTAGTGAGAGGAGCTTCAACAGTGACTGGGACTTGTGACCCAGGTGTAGGTTTAATATATATAGAGAGACGAAACCTCTCATCATTCCATGTATTCACGGTGCGTGTGTCGGGTCCATCGTTGTAGTGAGAGGAGCTTCAACAGTGACTGGGACTTGTGACCCAGGTGTAGGTTTAATATATATAGAGAGACGAAACCTCTCATCATTCCATGTATTCACGGTGCGTGTGTCGGGTCCATCGTTGTAGTGAGAGGAGCTTCAACAGTGACTGGGACTTGTGACCCAGGTGTAGGTTTAATATATATAGAGAGACGAAACCTCTCATCATTCCATGTATTCACGGTGCGTGTGTCGGGTCCATCGTTGTAGTGAGAGGAGCTTCAACAGTGACTGGGACTTGTGACCCAGGTGTAGGTTTAATATATATAGAGAGACGAAACCTCTCATCATTCCATGTATTCACGGTGCGTGTGTCGGGTCCATCGTTGTAGTGAGAGGAGCTTCAACAGTGACTGGGACTTGTGACCCAGGTGTAGGTTTAATATATATAGAGAGACGAAACCTCTCATCATTCCATGTATTCACGGTGCGTGTGTCGGGTCCATCGTTGTAGTGAGAGGAGCTTCAACAGTGACTGGGACTTGTGACCCAGGTGTAGGTTTAATATATATAGAGAGACGAAACCTCTCATCATTCCATGTATTCACGGTGCGTGTGTCGGGTCCATCGTTGTAGTGAGAGGAGCTTCAACAGTGACTGGGACTTGTGACCCAGGTGTAGGTTTAATATATATAGAGAGACGAAACCTCTCATCATTCCATGTATTCACGGTGCGTGTGTCGGGTCCATCGTTGTAGTGAGAGGAGCTTCAACAGTGACTGGGACTTGTGACCCAGGTGTAGGTTTAAGGGACCCTATCTAACGCGTTATACGCTCACCTCCACCGTACAAGCTCCTCTCTCTACCAAATTTGAAAGAACCTACTAGGGATTCAAAGTATGTTTAAAGAATGAATTGATATTAGTTCTGGACAGGCCCAAGTCTTTTAGTAGGTTGTAGAGAGATTTAGCCATTATGATTCTATTTACTTAAATCAAGGTGGTAGAGCCTAGGGATGGTCAAGTTACTACAGATCGAACATGTTCTGTCTCGACCGGGGAAGTACCACCCTCTCACAGAAGATCAGCGTGAAGTAGGCTTTAATGGATGCATTTCGTCCGGTGAGTGAGAGAGACGGTTGCCCTTTCCCTTTTCCTACCCTTTCCTTTTCCTCTCTTTCCCACCTTTTCCTCTCCCTTTTCCCCAATCAAGGGCGGCAACACATCTGCATATCTACGTTGCAGATGTCCATTGGCGACGGTTACTACCTACCATAAAGTAGGCCGTCTGCTCGGTTGCCCCCTTTTCCCATAAAAAAATCAAGTTATATTACCTGGTAAGCAAACTCGGTCTTCATAGCTTCAGCTATGTCCGTCTTGTTGGCTGTTCCTCCGCCAGCCACTGTGTATAAGACGCTGGCTGTTCGCGCCATTTGCTGTTCCATCATGTCACGGAATTCAGCCATTTTGAGATGGTTGTTGATGGTTGAACCCGCTATACCTAACACTGTACCTGGAAGATATAAAAAATATTCTAGAGTATGCAAACCTGAGATATATACAGGGTGACTGGTGAATTACTATCGATACTTGAGGACGTGATATTTGACGATCATACATATATGACAAAATAAAAATTAATATAACATAAATATTAATAAACTTCTAAGTAAAGTTAACCAAAAGTTATGTAATTAATTACGCATCGTGTCAACACCCTACAGATTAGGTATACACACACACACACATACGCGTGCGGCGGCGTGGTGTTGTATCAGCACGCCGCCGCACGCGTCCACACTTGGAACACTTGGAACGTGTCCACACTTTATTTATTTATACAGAAATTTGGTCAAAAATTAAGTACCTATTTTTTTTTACATAATTCGAATGAGAATCATGTACCGAGTATTCTCCTTTAATATTGATAGTAATTCACCAGTCACCCTGTATATGTAAAAAAAAGTCTCGCATATTCCTTCCAACTCAGCATAAAAATTGTACAAATAGGCCTTGAATACCAGGATTCATAATCATTTCAATACGAGCAGTCGTAAAGTTAACATCAAAAAGTAGAAAATCGAGATGAGTTCTAATCAAATACTTCTGTTTGGAAAAATATCAAGGAAAAACATAAATTGATCTAGTCGAGGAACTATTAGAAAACTCTATTGTTCCATACTAAAACTTAATGCTGGACAAAGTCTTATAGCTTGGTAGACTATCTATAGAAAATAGACATGACAAAGGACGTGCTCATAATGGAATCTAAATATTTCCATAGTATCTATTTAAATGAAACTAATATTTTCGACTTACTACCCGTTTTTTATTACGAGATGACACGAGAGACGTGATCTTCATCCTTAGTTATTTAGCAAGGAGCAAGGAAAGTCTTTGTTAAAACATTTCTATACTCGACAACGGTAGAGCTTTTTGTCATTAATTTTAGATAAACCCACTTATAAGCTATATTGTTTACAATTAACATAAAAAATATTTTGAATTTCCAAAAAAAACTCCATATTTTGATAAACATACAACATCATCACCTAAATTTATTATGAATCTCTATTTATTAACATATTTATAATCTGTATCTATTAATACAAAGAGCACAGATGAAATTTGGTACAAAAAAAACTTCTTACCAAGTATAGAAGCAACAATATACCAATATTTATTTCTTTCAGCGTGGGCCCTTTCCCGTTCATGACCAAGCTTCACAGCGGCTGACATAGTTGCAAATAATTCCCTTTCCTCCCTCTCAGCTTCAGAGAAAAGAGTTCGGAGTGCACGCTCTTGGATTATTAGCTGCAATACAATAGATTATTTATATATTAATAAGATATTATAAAGGTATCACAAATATTTTAAGGTATAATTAATGTGTGTACCAAAAATTTAATAAGTTTTTTAATGATTAAATAAATAAAATTTTTGTCCCTTACTCCATGTTGAAAACCGTATCAATAAAATCTAATCTCTGTCCTAAATCTATTTAATTATGTTTAAAATTATAATCCCTGCTATTATTATAAATGCGAAAGTAACTCTGTCTGTCTGTCTGTTACGCTTTCACGCCTAAACTACTGAACTGATTTTAATGAAATTTGTTACAGAGACAAAATTGACCTTGAGAAAGAACATAGGATAGTTTTTATCCCAGACTTTTGAAAGGTTCTCTTGGAAACGCGATATAACCGAACTCCACGCGGGCGAAGCTGCGGGAGGAAAGCTAGTTATTTATATATTAAAAAAAAGCAATACAGTAATTGAAAGAGTTTACGTAAGTATGGGGTTAGGGGGTAAGAGCTTTGCTTACTTTTACTGGTTAGGAGGGTAAATAATTGTAATAAATATGCTTACATAATACTTGAACAGCCCCTAATCTAATAGTAGATAATGAAAAATTATAAGTAGCATTAGAATAAAATTTCATAATAAATTTTCATACACTAACCGAATTAATAAGCCTAATTTATACTATAAATAATTGTATATAATTAGCAATATTAACAAAGTTATAGGAAATATTAAAAACAAACCTTGTGTTCCTCTGTACATAGATGTAGATATTTCTCATCGCCCTTCATAGTGTTCTGCATTTCCGAATGTAATTCCTTCAATCTAGAATCTATCGCTGCTAGCTCACGACCTAGGTCTCGTCTGCGGTCTTGGGCCGTCATGAAACGTTCCTAGAATATATATACAAGGTGGACTGGTGAATTACTATCGATACTTGAGGACATAATATTTGACGATCATATATGACAAAATAAAAATTAATATAACATAAATATTAATAAACTTCTAAGTAAAGTTAACCAAAAGTTGTGTAATTAATTACGCATCGTGTGAACACCCTACAGATTAGGTATACACTGACACTCACACATACGTGTGTGGCGGCGTAGTGTTGTATCAGCACGCCGCCACACTTGGAACACTTGGAATGTGTCAACACTTTATTTATTTATACGGAAATTTTGTCAAAAATTAAGTGCCTATTTTTTTACATAATTCGAATGAGAATCATGTACCGAGTATTCTCCTTAAATATTGATAGTAATTCACCAGTCACCCTGTATAATTTTCATTAAATACATTTTTCCTATTGTATCAATTGAATATTAAATCAAATAATAATTTTTAATAATTGAGGTACTTCTTTTGAGGAAACTCGATGATAATATTGTTATGAGAAAAGAATGTAATAATCATTTAAATGGAAAAAGTAATATGATTGGACTATAGAAGCAATTTGATAGAATTTTTTTATATGAATTCTAAATATTGTCAGCTAAGTTTTTTCTTTTAACATAATAATGGTAATATATGTAGATAAAAAATGAACTATGCATAAAAGAAATTTATATAATTAACAAATTAATTATAAGTTGTTAACAGTTTACTTTATTTCTCCAGTAAAAGTTAATTTTAAATTTTTCACTGTTATAAATATGTCATTAACCAATATTTATTTTTATGAATGTTTTCTCATTTTACTGTAAATGTATGTTATATGGAGACAGATTATAAGTATAAATACTGTTAAAAATAATGGTATCTAAGAATTTTGCATATATTCATTTCGATGACATTGAGCTTCTCGGAAACTATGCATTCTTATTATGTATTTACTAAGTGACACTATCATCTTGTCTATTCATGATCACGGTGACTGTAATGGATCCGAAAACATTATGTAGTTACAAAATAAAAAAAAAACACAGTACTATTAATACTCATACATAAGGTAATTTACAATGTAACACTAGTATTTTTGTTGGCAACTTATAACATATTTAATTCCTTACATTCATTCATATAGATATAGTATTAAAAAACCATTAAAAGATATTTTATAAACATATTCGTCAAACTACCTGTGCTTCGACAACCGTGTTTTGTATCGCCATAATTTCTTCTATACCCGTGAATTTTTCATATCTGGACACCAGTTCCTTGACTTTGTTGGTGACACCTTCGTGCCTGAACTTCTCAGCGATAGCAGTAACTCTATTAGCCGGGACATATTTGCTGATCAAGTGTTCAACCCTTTCGCGATTATTATTGCCTTTCAATTGAGGTATAAAGATTCTGTCTTTAACCCTTTGCGCGATCTGACGAAGGCGGTCGGCCATGGTTTCATATTATTTAATAAATATGAAGTTTATTAATCCTGTGTTATCATTTTTGTTGAACTATGATTTCATTTTTATATTTATTGACGGCTGCTCGTTTAATTTCATTGTCATCTTGACATAACTAATTTTGTAAATGTTTTTACTGCTCTGGATACGAGTCTTTTTGAGTACATAACTATAGATGGATTATTATAGCAAGCTAGGATGAATATAATAATAAAATATAAATTAATATTGATATACATTTTAAGCTAAACTTTCATATAATGCATACTTTAATTAATTAAAATCAATTATTTCTGATTCCAATAAAATTAATTAATGATGATTACTTTAATTCAAAGTATCTATTATAAGTTTTAGGAAGAAAAAATACAAATATAGCAAGATTATTAACCTCAAGAGTTAGCAATCATGCCTTATTAGTACAGTATGTATATATGTACAATAATAGTAATAAAAAATACATTAGAATCTTATTTTACATCAAGAGTCACCCCAGAGAATAAAGTTAAATGAAAGTCACTTAAATGCCACTACCTGAGTTCTATCCTTGGTGTAGGATTCCAACCATCTAAGTAAGTCACCATTTACACCAACATGATAAAGTTTTCTCATAAGTAGTGAGTGGGAAATGTTATCGAAAGCCTATGAATAATCGATGTACACGACATCCACTTGAGATATCGCCTCTAAAGCGTTAACATCAAGAAGTTCACAAAAATCAGTTTAAATAGATCGTTCATTAATAAATCAGTGATGTGTAATTGTACAGAAAGGTTGAATTAACGGAAAACAAAAATCGTAATCGATTTTCTGAAATAATTTAGGAATTATTAATATCATAATAACTCACATATTTGTGACACCATGCTTATACTATTATATTACAGAACTATTATAGTCCTTCTCCACATGAAGAGTAAGTACCCGGATTATAATATTTTATTAAATAAGATAAACAAAGCGAAATAATTTGTTTGAATTATCGTATCAGAAATACACGTTGAAGTAAGTTTAGAGCCGGACCCTTGTTTATATTTAATACATATTTCTCACTTAATTATAACTTATGTACCTAGATATTGATAATAATTGGTGTTTGATTATCGTGAATTGAAAAACAGTTCATTTCTAAGTTAAATATAGAGTTACGATCAATTTTAAAAACAGACTGTAACAGACTCAAACAATCTGAGAAAGATTGGCCATCGTATTCTGTCTATCTGGTACATAATTACTTCCTCGATTCATTTTAATATCAAAATTGTATAGAATTGTAAAATATGTTGCGTTTGGCGTTACCGACGTAATTATCGTAGCGATTAAGTTGCTTAGTTTGGCTTTTCATTTAGAAATGCAGTCATAGTCTTAAGTTCTACTATAAATCAAAAATTTTTTTAACCAAGAATTTTATTAAAGGCTTTGAGAAACACTTTAGATATTTGGATTTATCATATATACTTTTACAAGGAATAGAGCGATCAATTACGTTATTCATCATCATCATCATCAACCTATTAGATCCCATTGTTGAGCAAAGGCATCTTATCACATGGAGAAGGTTTGAGCGTCAATCACCACGCTCGCTCAAGACGGGTTGGTGATTTTAAACTAATAATTTGATAAGTCCATGTTTCCTCACGATGTTTTCCTTCATCTGTCAGTGATGTCTAAATACTCTTATAAAGTACATATGACTCGGAACAATCACAGTGGTACTTGCCAGGTTTCAAAACCGGGCCCTAATGCAGGAGAGGCGCTTTAATCTCAAGGCCACCACGACAATATAAAATTATATTTTTAACGATAGAATAAAAATCATTTACCACAATTAATAATATGCTATCAGAGTGAAATTCCCATATACTGTTCAAATTGTTTTATTCACAAGTAAAGGAACTATAGATAACATTATTAAATCTACGACTTATAACAGGAACTGCTACCAAATTATTCCTGATGATCCACAGGAACTGATGATGGAGAGATTCCTTCACCTCAATGAAGGTTAAACATTATAGACCCAAAAGTGTTATCTATACTAATATTATAAAGCCGAAGAGTTTATTTGTTTGTTTGTTTGAAAGCGCTAATCTCCGAAACTACTGGTTCGAATTGAATAATTCTTTTTGTGTTGGATAGTCCAGTTATCGAGGAAGGCTGTGGGCTATATAACATCACGCTACGACCAATAGGAGCAAAGATATAGTGGTAAATGTGTAAAAAACTAGTTACTATTAAGTACGTGGTTGTATTGAAACCAACTAACAAAATTAATGAAATTTACCAGTTGTATAATGAAATTACCTTCGAAATGATTCAATATATTAAGGGCTTCCTCTTCCTGGCAACTTCCCAGCTTTAGCCAGGGTCTACTTTACATGTTGTGAATAGTTTTGGCTAATTGTTTTTACGACCGGCCGCCTGACTGATATCAACCCTCTTTGGAAATGCATATTAATGCATGGTTGACTGATTACAGTGATGTCTAAATACTCTTATAAAGTACATATGATTAGAAAAATCACATTGGTACTTGCCAGGATCGAACTCGCGCCCTCGTCCATGAGAGGCGGGCCTTTTAACCACTAGGCCACCACTGACATCATCACACTCCTAGGACCAAATTGCATCTCTAATATTAAAGGCGTTTAGAAAAATTTTGTCGTTTGGATTCTTTAAGTTTAAGTCAAACAAAAATTCAAAAAACAAAGTCTTATTACCACATTGGCGTACATTTTTAGGGAAATAACAACGAATTAAAAACAAATTTTAATGAATGTATGAACCTTTACATAGGTACTATTATATTTATGTAATTTATGCAACCGGAAACAATAGAAAATCAACTAAACTTATATCTATTAAAATCATTCCATTCTTATCGCTTTGAAAGTTCCACCACACATAAATATTGTGTTTATAGTTGTAATCATTCCTCGTCAAAGAAACCAGGCATGAGCCAAATTTGCTAAAACAGATTACGTTATAATTAGACTGTAGCAGGATACAATTATTAGTTTAATGAGATGAATGAGTTCCCAGATTTTCGCGAGTAATCATTTAAATGAAACTAATATTTTTGGATTTACTATACCTTTTTTATTTTTATGTCACACTCACATCTCGTTTTAATGATCACGGTTGGTGTAAAGTAACCGAAACGTCAGAAGTATGTAGTTTATAGTCAGAAATAAAAAATCGCGTAGTAAATCCGAAAATATTAATTTCATTTTAATGAGATTAGTTTTATTGCCTTTAACCTATCACGTTTTGATAGAAAATTGAACAAGTCATAATAAAATAATGAAGTATAATATTGATTATGTGTAACAAAAAATATTGTAGAAAATACTTTGTAAATTATAAAAAAAACTGCAGAAAATATATGAACAAATGATAGTAACAATCACTGGATACCAAAAAAACAATTATCAAAATATTGTTAACATTAAAAATTTAAATAAAAGTATGTATTTAATAAGGACAATAATCTTTTATTTCATATTATCTGAATCAAGATATTAACTAATCGTAAAAGATAGTTTTTAAGTAGGTACGTTGACTTAAAAAAATACATTAATATAAAAAAAGAAAGTAGAAAAAAGATAATCATCTCAAAACGAGCAGTAAAGCAGTTAAAATTGATACTTAACTAAAAAATCAAGGCCATTTAAGAGAAATATTTGACATATACATATATACAATCACATTTTACGATGACAATCAACAATATTTTTTCTTTTCCTCTTACAGGACATAAAATTTTATGCCACATGCATCAAGCTATTTGAATATATTCAGCAAAATAAAAATAAATTATCCACGTACAAATTATTGACCATGATTTAATGAAATTATGAGTGAAATTAAAAATAATTATATGGTTGTCTTTTGATATAATTCGAGAACTTTTAATTAAAATTATACCTACTAATATTATAAATGAGAAAGTAACTCTGTCTGTTAAACTTTCACGCCTAAAGCACTGAACTGATTTTAATGAAATTTGGTACAGAGATAGAGTTGACCTTGTGAAAGAACATAGGATAGTTTTTATCTCAGACTTTTGAAAGGTTCTCTTGGAAACGCGATATAACCGAACTCCACGCGGGCGAAGCTGCGGGCGGGAAGCTAGTTATTAAATAAGAATGTAAAAATTAACCGACTAAAAAAGTAAAAACGGTTTAAATTTTATCGGTTTTTCTATGCAGTGCAATTTAGATATTTTTTTTATTTTACGAAGATTAATCGTCTTTGAACGTAGGCTGAATTAGACAGAATTAAAAAAAAATATCTTCAAAAACTATAATGGTATTTCAAAATTAAAGAAAAATACTTAAATGTTGAATTAAATTCGTGTAAATTCAAGATAATAAGATAACCTCATTGTATCGTTCAAGTTCATTTAAACGATGTTTTTTTATTATCCAGAAAATGGATTTAACCTTCATTGTATGAATATCCAAAGATTTCCTGGTCACGGCTATAAGACAGAGACTAGACAGACAGAGTTACTTTCGCATTTATAAAGTAGCCTATGTGTTATTCCTGGACGTCAGCTTCCTGTATACAAAATTTTATAAAAATCGTTTAAGCTGTTTGAGCGTGAAGAAGTAACAAACATACACACACACAAACTTTCGCAATTATAATATTAGTAGGATATATATATAATTTTTATTTTTTTAAATTAAATAGATCCAGAATGCTCTAGAAATTAACCGATGTGTGTCAATAATTGCAACCACAATAACATCGACCTTTGTTTCTGTGACAGAACTATTTAACCGGAGTTCATTCCAAACTGGACATCGTTTATTTTTTATGTAGTACTTTCTGATAAAAGTTTATTCGCACATGACCCCAACAAATAGGCAGTAAATCAACCATATTATATGTTTATTAAATTATTATTTTCAATATTAATTCCACAGATAAATCTTCTATATATATAAAAATGGATTGCTGTTCCTTAGTCTCGCTAAAACTCG